ACAACGTGATAAGGGTTGCGTATGATCAATAAGGAGTGCGGTACTGCGTGAACAATATTGAGTATAATCATTTATTAACGTTAAGGTTTTCTTAGCATAGTATTTGCACGTTTTAACGACTCTCTCTCTCACTAACAACCATCGCGTTATGCGGGATCCATGTGCAGTTGTCGAAGTGAAATCCGACAATCGTTGATGATACTGTATTGATGCCGTATTGACGTTCCGGGATTGAGAGTTCGCATACTATATCATAGTTAAGGTTGAATTAGTAATAAATTGATCAATACAGAAGTGGTTGTGTGATTCTTTCCTGAAATCTATGCATAAGATCTGCTTCTGCGTTGAGATTTGAACTTGGTGACCTTAATAAACACACTAATACATACTCAGTAAATGTTAAAGCGATAACGGGGTGAACCGGGGTCTGGTTATCATAACGACTTGCGTTATCATAATTACACCCACTCACATAATTAATACGATTACCTCTCGAATTGGCATAATTAAAATGTGCGTAATTACATAAATTAACATATTTCCGGATAATTACACATTTGGCCAAATTTCATTTAATTATTATTATTTCCACTGAATATTCATAACCCACACATACAACATAATAATTCACCCACGTACGCATACAACATAACAAATTTTCATACCCAACATATACAACAGGGGGAATCGCGTTAAGTTTGAGGGGGAGCTGGGTCCGTTAAGAGTCTAGTGGGGCATTACTTTGTATATTCAACTACTTCCACATGTGTTTTGGCAGTCAATATGATTCGTAATGCATTTTGCATTTTTGGGGATGTCTGTGTGAGGCTGTGTGTCTGTGTGAGATTCTATGGGTCTATTTGCAAGTATATTGTCCCTGTGCGAGTCTTTGGGTTTCTGTGTGAGTCAATGTCTGTGTGTGATTCTATGGGTCTTAGTGCAAGTATATTGTCTGTGTGTTTCGATGGGTATTTGTGTGAGTCAATGGGTGTATGTGTCTCTGTGCGAGTCTGTGTCTCTGTGTTTGCCAATGTGTCTTCCTGTGATTCTATGGGTCTTTGGGCAAGTATAGTCTTTGTGTGAGCTATGGGTCTCTGTGTGAGTCTATGGGTCTCTGTGTGTGTCTATGGATATATGTTTGAGTCTATGGGTCTCTGTGTGGGTGTATGGGTCTATGTGTGGGTGTATGGGTCTATGTGTGAGGTTATGGGTCTCTGTGTGAGTCTATGGGTATCTGTGTGAGTCTATGGGTGTCTGTGTGAGGCTGTGTGTCTGTGTGATATTTTGTGGGTCTAATTGCAAGTATATTGTCCCAGTGAGTGAGTATTTGGGTTTCTGTGTGAGTCAATGGGTGTCTGTGTGAGGCTGTGTGTCTGTGTGTGAGTCTATGGGTCTTAGTGCAAGTATATTGTCTTTGTGTGAGTTTATGGGTCTCTGTGAGTCTATGGGTCTCTATGTGATTATATGGGTCTTTGTGCAAGTATATTGTCCCTGTGTGAATCTATGAGTCGATGTATGTCTGTGTCTCTGTGTGATTCAATGGGTCTTTGTGAAAGTATATTGTTTCTGTGTGAGTCTATGGGTCTCTGTGTGAGTCAATGGGTGTCTGTGTGAGGCTGTGTGTCTGTGTGAGATTCTATGGGTCTATTTGCAAGTATATTGTCCCTGTGTGAGTCTTTGGGTATTTGTGTGAGTCAATGGGTGTCTGTGTCTCTGTGCGAGTCTGTGTCTCTGTGTTTGCCAATGTGTCTTCCTGTGATTCTATGGGTCTTTGGGCAAGTATAGTCTTTGTGTGAGTTTATGGGTCTCTGTGTGAGTCTATGGGTCTCTGTGTGTGTCTATGGGTATATGTTTGAGTCTATAGGTCTCTGTGTGGGTGTATGGGTCTATGTGTGGGTGTATGGGTCTATGTGTGAGGTTATGGGTCTCTGTGTGAGTCTATGGGTATCTGTGTGAGTTTATGGGTCTCTGTGGGATTTTTTTCTCTGTGTGTGTCATTGGGTCTCGGTGTCTATGGGTCTGTGTGCAAGTATATTGTCCCTATGTGGGTGTATGGGTCTCTGTGTGAGTCTATGGGTCGCTGTGTTAGTCTATGGGTCTTTGTGCAAGTATATTGTTTCTGTGCGAGTCTTTGGGTTTCTGTGCGAGTCAATGGGTGTCTGTGTGAGGCTGTGTGTCTGTGTGAGATTCTATGGGTCATTGTGCAAGTATATTGTTCCTGCGTGAGTCTTTGGGTTTCTGTGCGAGTCAATGGGTGTCTGTGTGAGGCTGTGTGTCTGTGTATGATTCTATGGGTCTTAGTGCAGCCGTCCTCCCCTAATTAGCGCGAATAATCGAGAGTCTACTGTACTTGGCTCCCATTGCCACTGCTTTGCAGCACTGAGTAATGAGCGAAAGCCCACGAGCACAAGGGGACAACATTCACAGGGCCGCACAGACAAGTCACGTGCCCCAACTTTCTATACTGCCACCTTTCAGCCCCATGAGTTTACAGGCACGTGCCACCACCTCGGTCAGATCAGTAAATGCAATCACGTAAAATTGTCCATTGCAATGATTGATGTTGATTGACGTGGCTCTGTTGCTGTCCCCTTTGTGGGCCGAGTCGTCTGGGCGGGAGCAGGAAATTGTTATCATTGAGCACGCGCATCGATCTATCGTGAGTTCTACAATTTTAGTTTAATTCATTAACCAACTCAATTTTCTTAACTTAAACATAACTTATACCACTATACTTTAGTGGTTTTTGGCATAGAGATCCACGGAAGATGAATATTTGGGATTATCCACGATTTTGAATTATCCGTGGCCATCCTCCCGGTCATTAGTGTGGGAAATGGAGAGTCTACTGTAATCAACAATCCTTTTTTGGCCCAATATTGAATAATCCTTTGATAAACACATGCTTGGTTTTGTTTTTCCAAGGTAAGTCCCAAATAGCAATAGGATTCATACCAACCCCTCTTGTACATTTGATCACCTTTTCAAGTTTCTGCGATCCCCAGTCGGTCGCACAGAGGTGATGCGTAAAGTAAAGGCCGACCGAAATTCGGTTTCGGTGCCGAAAGTTGGCAAATGGCCGCTTTCGACATACGTTCGGTTTCGGCCGAAAGTACATTTTTTACTTTCGGTTTACTTTCGGTTTCGGCCGAAACTGATATTGACTTTCGGTCAACCGAAGATCTATTTTTAGAATATAACGCTAGTGCTACGTTTATCTCTCTGCCTATCGGCCGGTCAGTCGGCGCTAGGCAATCCTGCGATAGGCTGCAAAAACACATCAGCAGCAGCTTGGGAGCGAGGTTACAGCCGCAACGATGGTCTGTTAATGTCAACAGACGGCAGCCTGCTTTTGCATCCGTGGGTGGAGTCTCTTTGGCGGGACGACAACAAAGTGCCGTTGTTGTCTGTTCCCAGCCGCCTGCCCGCCTTGGCTTATGTGTTGCGTTCTCTTCAGTCTATACGCGTGTTGATACCGAGATTCGAAGTCTGACAATATTCTTCTTGGTTCTTTCGGTAAAGTCACTTAGAAGGGAAGTAATAAAATAATAAAAATAAAACATAATAAAAAAATGAAGAATTCTTCACCTGAGGACAGCTGCTTGCGTTGTGGCCGAAACGTCGTGAGAATTATTTTATTATGTTTTATTTTTATTATTTTATTATTTCCCTTCTATGTGACTTTACCGAAAGAACCAAGAAGATGAATCCCTGCAGTCACGAAAGCTTTAAATCGAAATCTGACAATATTGTTATTCAGTTAGTTAATAGTTACGTAGCGAATTAGTGATAACAAAATTACGAATCTGAGTGAAGTAGAAAATTAAACTTAATAAACGGAGCAGTTAATCACTAAAGTCGATTCTGATGCAAGAAACAGCAACCTGCTGGGCGAGAATGCGGAAAAACTGGTATTTCTTAACTACAACATTCGTTTGTTTAGATATAATCACTAAGTAACACCTAAAGATTTGATATTTAACGACTCTTACTGCAGGCTCTGAATGATTAGTTCTAGATACATTTTTTATTAAAGTAGCATTGCATCATGACCTATATATAAAAAATGAAAATTTGTGAATGTGTCTGTTCAAAATGTTTAGCGTACTTCCCGACATGCAACAAACTTTAAATTTGCCATGTGGGTACTTTCCATACTGTACACCATGCATACACTTTGGTATTATTTTTTTGGGGGGGGGGGCGGTGCAATAATGCATATATTTTGCACGGCAAGCGAGCTGTGACGTCACATCTGTCATGTCACCCGCGCATGTGTAGCGCTTAGCGCTACGAACATGGCGTGGTGCTGGCCACCCACCCCCTCGTGTGCCATGCCGGCCTTCATAGGTACTCGCTAACAGCACTTGCCCCCTACAGTCTCACAGGCTACATGGTGGATTTTTGTCCTTATCCTGTGTGTATGTAGGGGGGGGCAGCGACTGCGTAGCGATTCGCGCGCTGCGCTACAAACCCGACGACCAAAGTTCAATTCCCACTCATGGCCACCGCCGGTGACGATTATTTGAACTGGTCCTGGGCCTCCCCTAGGTCGACTCAGCCTCAAACGAGTAAGTGGTGTGTCAACATCGCCACTGGGGAGACAAAGGCAGCCGGCCGTGGTGAATCCAAGTCCCGGGCGAAGCCGGGTAGTAAAGCTAGTATTTCATAAATCTTGTGTTCGGTAACTTTGGTTATAAACCTTTCTGTTTTGGTCTCGGTCGAAAGTGAAGTTCAACTTTCGGTTTCGGCCAAAAGCCAATATTTAACTTTCGGTCTGGTTTCGGTTTGGGCCTAAACCAGAAATTCAGTTTCGGTCATCCTCTAGCGTCAATGCTTCAGCCTACAACACGCCATGGCAACGTAACTGGTACTGGGCAACTATCTGAACGCTGGAATAAAAAAAACCCGTCTTTCTTGCAACCAAAAACGGCAGGATGGATATGCATGGTGTGCATGCATAATGTGAATGTATGTCTGTTGATTATCCTATGAATAACCCTACCGATATTGGATATCCATTGTAATTTATATGCATTTATAACCTCCCCCCCCCCCCCGGCCTTCGGCCTAATTGCCCCACAAGTGAGACATCACATTTATCTCTTGAGAAATCCTCCTGCTTCGCTCTTAACAACCCTGGCTATCGCCTGTTGATGTGAGTTGGAATTACTGACAAAACGTCGTACTCGAATTGTAAATTTTATTTTATACCTACTTGACTTTACCAAAAGAACCAAAGAGTATTGAATTGTAAATGTTGGGGGTTTACTCTCGAACACACCAGTGTGCTGAACTAGTAACGAATTAGCACGTTTTGATTACGTGACAAACCTCACTACAGTAATTGGCTGTGTTGGCGGTGGCGGGTTGAACGACACATTCATATTTACGTCGTCTAACCCAAAAACCTCGATTATGGATAATGGTCGTGAAAGCTTGAGGTCTTCTTGGGGTAAACAAACTTATGAATATTTATGTTGAACTTCTTTCGCACCGTACATAGCCAACTGTGCTAATCGGAGGTGTGGAAATAGAAAAAGCCTTGGTTGGAACGCAGCTAAAAGGCCTGGTGACAGAAGTGACCTGTCTGCTATTTTACATCTCTAGGTTTCAATCAACTCATTGCCCAGCATAAATTTAAACGTGAACTCGACTACGGGAACAGACCTGAATCTGACCGTCAGAACGGAGGCTTTGGATTCGGGCCGTGGCCCAGGTGCAGTGGTTTGTGCTGTACAGAGCCCTCGACAAGATCGGTGCCAGACGCCAGCGCCGCGGCCGCCCTGCGCGAGCGACCGCTCGGGGTAGAGCGGCCGAGGCTTCCCACCAAATCGCTCCTCCAGCATTTCCTTCAGCCTGCACGCCCCGCACACACAGGCCGCAACGCGATGTCCACACACAATACAAAAAATGCCACACTCCAAGTGCTATGAGGCTCCATCCACACGGTGGCGCTGCTACACAAAGCAATGAAGCACGGCTGTTACGAAGACTTAGGGAGTTTAGTCATTTGTGGAATTGTTTTTTTAACTTGTCATGGGACCTTGTTGTCAGCATCGAAGTATAAAGAATAACAATAAGTTTTACCCTTTCTGGCAATAAAACATGTCTTAAGATGTTCAAACACCAAATAGATCACGTTACATTTTTCATGAATGGAAAACTTGTTTCTCTAGTCCAGCGGTCGGGAACCTATGGCTCGCGAGCCATATATGGCTCTTCCGGTGACGGCATATGGCTCCCAGACAATTTTGAGTTGGAAAAAATAATAATAATAAAAAATCAGTTTGGAACTGATTTTAAAATACTTGTGATATTGTTTAATAATACTGCGTCATTTTAAAGTAAACAGAAATTAGTTTTGAAGATAAATTTCACGGGTCACGCCTGCATGAAGCTCAACCTCACCACGTATGAACCAGACTACAAGGCCATCAGCAAAACCATGCAGCACCAGAAGTCGCATTAAAAGTAAGACATATTTAATTTATTATACGTTAAAAATACTATATGGCTCTCAATGAAATATATTTAGAAATATTTGGCTTTTATGGCTCTCCCAGTCAAAAAGGTTCCCGACCCCTGCTCTAGTCCATACCACGAGCCACTGGTCCAACATTCCTCGTAACATTCAGCAATTCCCTTTCTGCCACGCAACATGCTGCAGGTCAACGTTTTGGAGGGCGTTGGCTCTGCATAGGCTATTGAGGCCCAGAGTCCTGGGCTGGGCAACAGTCGAGACCGCCGCGGGTCATTGACACGGAGCGGCCCCAACGAGTCACAACGCCGCTAGAGTGAAAGCTCGCGATCGAGAGTCGCCGCGCCATCTGAACGAGCCATGTTCCACATGGTCAGGGCTGTCAACGTTCTTGCCCAACTCACGGCGGCTCGCTTTGACGCTGCTGAGCACGCTTCCACGCATGCTCGGAATGGAGGCGGGCCGTTAACGCTCCGTGTAGAGCAAACTCTAGCGCTTCCATGTAACTCGGCTGTCTGCGCCGCGATCTACAATGTTAGCTGGAGTGCAGACTTACTGAGGATCTGATAAAGCAATCTTGAGCAATGCCACTATGTATTGGGCCTGCCTGCATTGCACCTGTGCACGTTGCGCCCACGCGAGTGGTGCCTGTATGCTTGTGGGTAGGGGATGGGTGAGGTTTGTGGGTAGGGAGTAGGGAAGGGTGAGGATTGTGATAAGGGAGTGGTGAGGGACGAGGCTTGTGGGTAGGGAAGGGTGAGGCTTGTGGGTAGGGGGTGGACACTGGGAACTGTGGGTACTCTGTGCCCGCCCTATATAACTTTATCTGCAGCGTGTTCCGCAGGCCGCGAAGGGAATTTCTGAACCTTGTGAATGTTGGACGGTGGCTGGCAGTATAGTGTCATGGTGGCGTGGTATACAGGAGGGCGTGGGTTCCATCCCGACCCTGACGCCTGCTGTAAATTTGGAGTTTGCATGTTCCCTCCGCAGTCGCGTGGATTTTTCTCTGGGTCCTCTGGTTTTCCCCTCTACATTTAGATTCAAGATGCCTTAATAGTATTTGGCTAATTAAAATTTGCACATAAGCCCCTTCGTTGAACTATTATTTGTAGTGAAATGAGAGCGTAAATGGGGTTTGCTGCTGGGCTCTGGCCCAATCACACGGCCCGGGTTATTGGGGGGCGGAGCCCGGTATGGGGGGCGTGTGGGAGGGGCCGCCGTTCACCTCGGCTCCAATTGGAAGCGAGGTGAATGGGGGTGGAGCCAGCAGGGCAGTATGGGAAGGCCGTATCTGACGATCCGGAAGGGGAGGAGTCAGGGTCACGTGGGGGAGAGAATATAAGTGGGAGCTCGGAAGAAATCGGGGTCAGTTGCGGAGTAAAGAGGCTGAGCCACGTTGGGTGGTGAGAGGAGATCCGCGCCATTGGCCACGTGGCCGAAGGACCTTCAGCACGCCGTCGGCCAGCGGAGTGCGGGAGTGGAGGAGCTAACGGAGGAGCGTGCGTGGGCGCGCGCGAGGAGACGCTGGTCCCCTGTCAGGACTAGCGGGGTGTGAGGAAGAGTGGAGGAGCCGATGAGGTCGCGCGTGCGGGGCGCGCGCTAGACGACGCTGGTCCGCGGACAGGACCAGCGGGGTGCGGAGAAAGAAACTAAATAAAAGGCCAAAGGAGACCAACAGTGACCAACGAAGTCTTTTATTACAGTAGCCAGGTCACTTCTGAAAAATAGCTATATAGTTCAGTAGGCACTTAAAATAAAAAAGTTTAGTTTATAGCAGTTAGTATAAAAAAAAGAGAAATGCAATAAACATGTCACCACGCATTATCGCGCACACGGAGATGAGCCGAGCGGCCGCAGAGGCGAGGGGGAGAGCGGTCATGCTCACGTGGGTAGGAAATTTCCAAGCGCTTCGTCGGGCTGCAGGTAGAAGGAGGCCGGGGACCTGACGAAGGAGACGAAGGTGTGAGTAGGCGTCATCGCAAAACACCAATACCGCCCCTAGCCACGGGGCTAGACACAACACAGATACCCCCCCTAGCCACGGGGCTGGACACAACACAGATACCCCCCTTGCCACGGGGCTGGACACAACACAGATACCCCCCTTGCCACGGGGCTGGACACAACACAGATACCCCCCTTGCCACGGGGCTGGACACAACACAGATACCCCCTTGCCACGGGGCTGGACACAACACCAATACCCCCCCTTGCCACGGGGCTGGACACAACACAGATACCCCCCCCCCTTGCCATGTGGCTGGACACAACACAGATAGCCCCCTTGCCACGGGGCTGGACACAACACAGATACCCCCCTTGCCACGGGGCTGGACACAACACAGATACCCCCCCTTGCCAGGGGGCTGGACAAAACACAGATACCCCCCCCCTTGCCATGGGGCTGGACACAACACAGATATCCTCCTTGATACTGGGCTGAGTGCATAAGCAACTGAAGTAGAATTGTGTTAAATAAAGTACATACAGTAAAAAACTCATGAAATAAACTTAAATGAAGAAAACTAGCAATAGAAACATGGGGAAAAACAAGCTCTCAGCATATAAAACAAGCAATGACATAATGCTACGAAATGAAAGAATTACATAAGACGACAATAAATGCCTTAACCCTCGTGGAGCTCAAGCGAGGCGTAAGGTTGCCCCTCGCCTTACGTCTCGCTCCACGGTATTCATCCGCAAACCTCACTGTGCTGCAATATTTGCGCTTACGTAATTAACGCAAGAATGTCTGCATATCGATGTTTTATTGTTACATGATTTATGGAAGCATTCCCATTAGGTTAGATTTCCTCAAGTCAGATATTTCGCAACCTGTGGACTGTCTGTACATGAAGGAAGATTCGCATTGCCGTTTACGACAGATGCTGGTTAGTGAAGAGCATTCCAGATTGTAGAATGCCGGATAACAATATATTTTCCTGTATTTTAATACATCTTTACTTTCCAACGATGAGCTGTACTAGTCATGAATTGGCATGTTTTGGTTACGTGACAAACCTTACTAATTGACCGTATTGGGTGGTGCCGGGATTAACGACATTTATTATATTTACGCAATCTAACCCAAAAACCTCGATTATGGACATTGGTCGCGAAAGCCTGCTACATATTCAACTGACAGCTTGGTAGTGTACCATTAAAATGTCAAGCAGCAACATTTTCAAAAAGAGAAAGCGTACAAAAAAGATGGCATCACCGTTTGTCCCTCTCCGATTGCTTGCCAAATACAAGGAAACTATTGCAAACGTGGCAGAGTGAGTAAAACTCGTAACTGCAAATCACAGACAGAAGCAAGCGACATCTTGTGTCGTTGACTCGGATTCATCCATTCTGGTCCCTTGCAAAATGTTTTTGACAATGCCTGAAAAACTTCGCTTTCACTGTTAACAAATAAATCTTTGGCTCATATTTGCAGGTTGTTTTATCCACTGCAGTAGCACCCAGTTACACCACTGGGGACTTCACACGAAACCAGCCGAGAGGCGTTTTGATAACACGTTCACATACAAAAGACAAAGATCCCCCGTGTAGCCTTAACAGACTGTTGGGGCAAGTGCCGATAGTGAGTAGCATCCATGAAGGCCGGCACGGCACGAGAGGGTGTTTGGCCAACATCAAGCCCGGCCGCCTTTGTCTCCCCAGTGGCGTTGTTTACACACTGTACCAGGTACTCATTTGACGCCGAGTCAACTTTAGGGGAGGTCCAGGACTGGTTCATATAATCGTCACCAGTGTTGGCGGCCATGAGCGGGAATCGAACTCGTGTCGCCGGGTTCGTAGCGCAGTGTAGCGCTAACCGCTGCACTATTGTGCACATGCAGGCAGATACAAACACCCTGACATACACACTCGTACACAACGTGGCCATACGACTGTCGTAGCTGTACCTTGCAGGTCGGGCACACAAACTCGCAGCCCGCGCGTGCGCGTGCCTTTGTCCTGCAGGCATGCTCCACACAAGACGCGTGTCCGCACACCGGCAGCAGGTAGGGGCGGCTGCGTGACGCGTCCCAGGCTCCACTGGGAAACAGACATTTTTTAAAATCCCAACCAAGGCATGGGATCAGAACAAGTGCTAAGGCAGCACCTGACGCGCAAAGACAGCGTCGACTTTTCCCATTTGAAAGCGGCCACTCCTCGTCATCATCACAGATTAAGGGGTCTGTAATTATGACGATAGACCTGATTTTCATTCAATCAGGTCTATAATTGAATGACAATCGTAGACCTGATTTTCATTCATTTAGGATTTTCTTTGGACGTCAGCTAATAAAGTAGATTATAGATTATTCGTGCTGACAGGGAGGACAGCCGCGGATAATTCAAAATCGCGGACATTAGATTACTTTTATTTAAACTATGAACTTCATACATTAACAGTACATCTAGCAACTAATTTACCTGGTGGTATTGAAACAATTCTTACATGCTTGTGTTGAACCAATGCCGCTTGAAATGATACAACAGCAGGCGTTGACGATGAAAAGCGTAAAAAACTATTCTGAGTTTATTGTCCCTTATTTTATGGCCTGCTCAGATCTTCTTTCGGGGACTCAATTCGCAACTTGTAGCTCTGAACATCAAGCGTAGCGAGTGAGCCTCTATGAAGGCCAGCAGCGTGCTGTTAGTGGTCGTGTAAGCAGAATCACAGCCGTCTTTGTCTCCCGAATCTACACTCGCAATGAACCGAGTACTCATTTAAGGCCGAACTGACCTAAGGGAGGCTCCCAAGAATGGTTTATATTTCGAGTTGCCGCTGTTTCTCCCCGTCAGAAATTAAATTACCTTCACGCATCTTCATGTGGCGTCTCCTTGAGACGACTGTAACTGCACGAGCTAAAGGCGTGTCTTTCTGTAAGCGCCACACTGCCTTACGCGAGACTTCAGTTTTACATTTTCCATCATCTACTCCTTTAACGGATGTAGAAATTTAAACTAACTTCTTTCGCACCGTACGTAGCCAATGGTGCTAATCTGATGTGCGGAGCAAGAACAAACACTAAAACACAAAACGCACGCGCATGTAGGCCGTGCTATAAACAATTACCTTTGATTTCCTGTGCGGGCAAGGACGATACAGTCCACTAAAACTACGAGCACGCGGCACACCACCAGCGGCCACGTCTCCTGCCGCGTGTGCAGGCGGTGCAACTGCACGGGCCCACACGGGCGGGGAGTTGCTGCAGTGCCATGCCACGTGGAGCAGAGGGGGGCATTGGCAGGCTTCATTCTTGTGTTTCTTGCACCAGAACCAGACTCTCACACAGAGACCCAGATACTCTCACACAGAGACCCTCACACAGAGACTCTCACACAGAGACCCAGAGACTCTCACACAGAGACCCTCACACAGAGACCCAGAGACTCTCACACAGAGACTCTCACACAGAGACCCAGAGACCCTCACACAGAGACTCTCACACAGAGACCCAGAGACTCTGACACAGAGACCCTCACACAGAGACCCAGAGACCCTGACACAGAGACCCTCACACAGAGACCCAGAGACTCTTACACAGAGACCCTCACACAGAGACCCAGAGACTCTCACACAGAGACCCAGAGACTCTCACACAGAGACCCAGAGACTCTCACACAGAGACCCTCACACAGAGACTCTCACACAGAGACCCAGAGACTCTCACACAGAGACACAGAGACTCGCATACAGAGACCCTCACACAGAGACCCAGAGACTCTCACACAGACACCCAGAGACCCTCACACAGAGACCCAGAGACTCTCACCCAGAGACTCAGAGACTCTCACCCAGAGACTCTCACACAGAGACCCAGAGACTCTCACACAGAGACCCAGAGACCCTCACACAGAGACCCAGAGACTCTCACCCAGAGACTCAGAGACTCTCACCCAGAGACTCTCACACAGAGACCCAGAGACTCTCACCCAGAGACTCAGAGACTCTCACCCAGAGAATCAAAGACTCTCACCCAGAGACTCTCACACAGAGACCCAGAGACTCTCACCCAGAGACTCTCACCCAGAGACTCAGAGACTCTCACCCAGAGACTCTCACACAGAGACCCAGAGACTCTCACACAGAGACCCAGAGACTCTCACACAGAGACCCAGAGACTCTCACCCAGAGACTCAGAGAATCTCACCCAGAGACTCAGAGACTCTCACCCAGAGACCCTCACACAGAGACCCAGAGACTCTCACCCAGAGACTCAGAGACTCTCACACAGAGACCCAGAGACTCTCACCCAGAGACTCTCACACAGAGACCCAGAGACTCTCACACAGAGACTCAGAGACTCTCACACAAAGACTCTCACACAGAGACCCTCACCCAGAGACTCACACAGAGAGCTATTCATCATGGAGCAGCCATCCAGCCGAGTCTTGAGGGATCTGTGGGTCCTCTTGATTTTCATGGGGTGGCGCTTGCCCCGAGCCAATTTCCACATGGATCCTCTCATGTGGCGGCTTCGGTAAACTCGTCCACGTTGCGATGACTTCTGTTTAAAACCGGAAACAAAATCAGTATGAGAGGCAAGAGATTGCAGTCTCCTTCTTCCCCTGTTGGTCACATCCACTCAAATATTTTTTTTCACTTGCCATCTACCACACCACCACCATTGATTGAACACGGGTGTTGTACTTGCCTTTCAGTCGCAAATATCGGACAACTATTTGTAATCCACAGCATGAACAATGTGTGTGCTTGTAATAAATGTGTGCGACTTTGTCGAGGGTGTGAGTGTGATTTTTTATTGTTTGGTGTTGTAACGTTCTAACCTGCCTCTCCTGGACATCTGTGAAAAATAGCTTAATAGCTCATCGGATTCCTCCAGTATAAATATTCTTATTCTGATTTGTGTCATCTATGCATGTGAGATTATGACATTTGCCTGAGTGATCTATATCCACGATGCCTCTCTGGGTGTGGTGTCTCTGTGTGTGTCTGTTGTGGTGTCCTGCTGATTCTCTATGTGACAGTGAAGCCAGCACACTCTCTCTCTCTTACCAGTTGATTCTTCCGCCAGACTCTTAGGCTGGTAATGGTGATCCCCGTGCTCTCCACGTGGTAAGTGATGGCCACCGGCCCACTGTGCAGGATCTTCATCAAGGTCGTCCACCTTGAGGGAGACGGGTATTCTCCATCTTGCGGAACCGTCATCCAACAGCCTAAAGAAGAAGCTGCTTGAGGTACCATTTCGGCCAAGTTCGACCGAGCCTTTTGTTTCGGGAGGTTGGTGGTGTGGACGGCCATCGCTGGCATGGCAGGAGGTCGCGGACGCCACTGTTGAAAACATCGCACAAGTATTTGTAATGTACAGCACGACAACAAGCATCTTTCCCTCTCTTTAGTTCAGCCTTGACTAACAGCTGGATTCTCGGCAATAAACAAAAGTCATTGGTCACGTGCCATGGCCCTGCGTAGTTTGATCCTCTGGTTTTTCCCTCCACATTTAGAAACATTTATTTCGATAATTTAGATTATTTTGCTGCTATGAATGTCCAAATGATGTCACTTTGTTGATCTATCATTTGTGACCAGGTTCCGTCTGAAAAATAAGTTAGTACCTCAGTGGGCTTTGTATGATGGGGATGGTTTAGTTTTATTTGTTTGTTTTTGGGTGATTTGTTAACCTTTCATGTACTTTGCACTATTATCATGTTTTTGTAGTATTTGTTATTGTAATGTTCTTACCAGCCCCGACCGGACATCTGTGAAAAAGAGCTTCATAGCTCATCGGATTCCTCAACCATAAATAAATAGTATTATTCTGAATCTACTGGCTGGGGAAATAGTTCTGTCCGCACCAGGGCAACTCACCAACGCCGCACAAGGACAGCTGAGTCCAGCACATGTCCCAAATGCCACGCTGCCAGTAACAAAAAACACCCTTAAAGTTGCAGTGGATAATATTTAAGCATAATTAATTGAGCAAGGTGTTTGCGACTTTGTCTAGGATGTGTGTGTGGATGTCATATATACTTGTGTGTGTGGTGTATGTGTAGGGGTGTTACGGGAGGGTGAACAAACACACGAGGGGTGGTTATGCCCGCACGCGGAAGGATGCTTATATTCACGTCCGCATCGGTTAGCCCTGGGGGGCTGTAACGGCGCTGTGATCTCCCACGACCCCACCCCTCGTGGGGGAGTTGCTATATAAGGCGGTGAGCCGGTGGGCACGGGGTTCAGTATTCAGCCTAACTAGTGAAGAGTGAAGACCGGCTAGATAGGCCCTGGGACTCCCCTGGATCGCTGTCCTTCTAAGGACCGACCAGGGCAAGCCAGTGGCGTGGCCCCGAGAGCCCAGAGCCGATGCTCTTGTAAGAGCTGGTCTGGTGGCTAAGGGTGCCGTGATCCTAGCTTGGCCAGAGCTGGATCAGCTAGCCTCCCCTAGCTCTCGAGTGGAGGACCTTGGAGTAGGCTAGCCGGGCTAGAGTTAATGGGGTCTCCCTGTTAGACGGGTGAAGGGGCCGTTACCCCTTCGAGTGTTGTATACATTGGCCTGTGCTGAGTGAAACATTATAATAAATAAGTGTGCCTCCGACTACGTCGTCTACGTCTCATTGAACCTACTACATATGCGAGTGAGATTCTTATATCTACGCGAGTGATCTGTACGCGTGATACGTCTCTGCGTGTGGTGGCTCTGCGTGTGGTGTCTGTTGCGGTGCCACGCTATGGTCTGTGTAATCGTGAAGCTGGCACTCACCACTGCATTCTTCAGCAACACTCCGAGGCTGAGGAGGGCGATCCCTGCACTCGCCACCTCGTAGGCGATGGCCACCGGCCTGCTGTGCAGCATCTCCATGAAGGTCTTCCACCCTAAGAGAGCTGGGTCGTCGTCTTCTCCTCCTCCTCCTTGGGGAACCTCCACGCCATGGCTGGGAGAGGAAGCGACTCGAGGCTCCCTCTTGGCTTCGTGATCTGCGAGCCGGTCGCTGATGTGGACAGCCACGGTCGCTTTGGCGAGAGGTAGAGGCTGCCCGGCCTGTGGCGGTTGGACCTCCCAGGCTCCCCCCAGGTTAACCAGCCAGTTCGGGGAGAAATTCTTCTCCTCCGTGGGCCCAGACGTGAGGAACGCGTAGCTCGTCACGAGCAGCGCCACGAGGGTGCGTGAGGTACTGCGCAGCCCATGAGCCTCCATGGTGACTGCTCCGGGAGAGGCTCCAGGAGGCTTCGTGCAGAGAGGCGCTCCTCAGCACGCAGCTCGCAGCGTGGCTCCAGCGGCACACTGGGCGGAAGCGGATATGACGTCACGGCCCGAGGACGGATATATGTTGTGTCTCATCTGTGTGTCTGTATGTCTGTGTGTGTGTGTGCGGTACCGATCCAGCTCCTGACAAAGGAGTGGCAGCCTCTCCTCCGCAGTGAGCGTTCGAACATTCCACGTGGCCATCCATAGTGGCTTTCGTTGTTTCTGGAGGAGCCCCGAGGGTGAAGATTTAATCTCCTGGCTCCGCCAATTGGGGTTTGGCCAGGAGATGTTATAGACGCCTGTCCCCCCGGGGCCTCCGGCACAAGCTTATTAGTTACATATTTATGTTTAATTCGTAGTTTCGTGGTAATAAATTGAAGGTGGAGGGGTTACCAGCCCATCGCACCCGTCCAGAGCCCCCGTTTAGCCACTGTGGTGGTCACAGACGCCATGAGGGGAGAGGCCAATGGGCATTGGCTCTCCCCCCACAGCACTGTCCACGACAGTGTTGCCCATTCAGGCACCGCGAGGAGGTAGGGGGTTGTTTTGCCGGACAGTGATGGGGCAGTAGTGGAGAGAGTGGAGAGTTTCCCACACCTGGGCAGTATGCTTATGACCCGCTCCAGTGTAACAGCAGAGGTCTCACTCCGAATCAGTCAAGTGGCAATATCTTTTCATCGGTTGCGTAATGCTGTGTGGAAGCTACCTGGTCTGTCGCTCCGCACGAAGCTTCAGGTTTTCTCGGCCACAGTCATTCCCTCCCTTCTCTACGCTTGCGAAACGTGGACCCCCCTAATGGAGCATCTTTGCCGGTTGGAAACATTTAGGCTGGCCTGCCTACGATCCATCCTGGGTTTAACCAGGCTGGATTGTGTGAGGAGCTCACAAATCCTTGAAAGATCTGGGTAAAGTCCCATTGGTGAGCTCCTCCGGCAGGCAAGGCTGCGTTGGCTGGGTCATGTAGCCCGCATGCCCAGCCACCGCATGCCTAAACAGCTTTTGTTTGGCCGGATTGAGGGGGCTAAACGGGCACAGCACGGGCTAGAGAAGAGATAGGGTGATGTGGTACAGGAGGACGTGGAGCTGAGTGGACTTGCCGATGACTGGTACCAGCAGTGTCAAGATCGGCCTCTGTAGAGGAGGCTCGTGAAGGACACTACTGGGCAGTTGGAGGCAGTCGCCCTCCAACAACAACGGAGGGCGGAGGAGCGACGCTCACAACAACGAGCGGAGCACCGTGTGGCTAAAGCACAGCAAGTTAGTACAGTAGGGGGCACAGGTGGTGCATTAGCCAGTCATCTCGGTCATCTCAGTCAGTCAACCCGTGGCACCTGGGTCTGCCCCGTGACCTCCTGCCAGCGGGCGTTCGACACTTCACGTGGCCTCAAGGTGCACATGGCCTGGCACAAGCGTCGTGGTGACGTCACCGCCACTTAGTGGCGAATGGCGGTTGTTGTTGTGTGTCTGCACCTGGTCTGTAGTGATTGAAAGGCATGGGCCAGATCAGTTCAATAACAACGGTAGGAGGCTGCTAGATTTTTGTGCAGCCAATGATCTTGTAATTACCAACACGCTGTTCCGGCATCGGCGCATCAACACAACATCACGGATGCATGCTGGATCCAAGCAAGAACATCTGCTGGACTACATAGTGACGGATCAGTGGATGCGAGCCCATGTCCTTGACACCAGGACCTACCGTGGAGCTGATCTGCCCTCTGACCATCGACTGACTAGTCATCTGTAAGATGCGCCTGCCATTCTTCCACTCCGGTGGTGGATGTACATCCAAGACCCCATTCCAACCTAAGGTGGCCTGGTCTCAGTTAGCTTATGAAAGTTGCAAGCGAGAATTTCATCAACGCTTGCGGCTGGGGTTGGCATCGTCCCCCACTCCTGATGTCGAGAGTAAATGGGCAAGGTTTAGGACTGTGACTCATGCAGCTGCAATGGCTGCTTTTGGAACGTGGTCCAGACCTCCCCAAAGACCCTGGATGACAGAGGAGGTGTTCAGGATGGTTGAGAAAAAGCGAAAGGCCCACTCTAATCGTCTACAGCATCCCACATCAGAGAATGAGGAGGCTTACCGCAGCCTTCGCTCGGAGGTTCGGAGAGCCGTGAGGCGCTGCAAGGATGGGTGGTGGTCACGGGTTGCTGAGGAGATAGGAGTCTGCCTCAGTGGCCCGCAAGAACAAATCGCTCTTTAATTTCATGACAAAAGTAACCTGCAGCGCCACACCTATTACCATCATTAGGGGAAGGAATTGGTGATCCAATCTCCGACCCCCAGGAACAAGTTTGCAGATTTTCTGAGCATTTCTGTGAGGTCCTAGGGTAGGGGAAATCCCTTACCCAGGAAAACAACGTGGGACAAAGTGGGGATGACCCTGCTGAGGCTGCGGTGCCTCAAATATTGGAAGTCACCCCCTGTGAGTGGCTGGCTGAGGTGCCATTGGTTGAGGAAGTACGGAAGGCGATCCAGAGTCTAAGACCAGGAAAGGCACCGGGCAGAGATGATCTCCCAAGCAAAATGCTGAGGGAGGGTGGCGTTTGTGCACAGACTGCCCTACATGACATCATAACCACAGTCTGGACCACTGGACGGGTTCCATAGGACTAGAAATATGCCCTGGTAGTCCCCCTCTTTAAGAAGGGGGACCGCACAGACTGTAACAACTACAGGGGCATCTCACTCCTCAGTATGCCGGGAAAGGTCCTGGCAAGGATTATTCAACATCGCCTTGCTAGGCACGCTGAGAGGCTTGCGGAGCCCAATGCGGTTTCAGGAAAGGGAGGTCTTTCACATATGCCATATTTTCTGTCTGTCTGCTACAGCAGAGGTGTAGGGAATTCCAACAAGACCTACATCTCTGCTTTATTGATCTGGTCAAGGCCTATGATACCATCAGTAGGCCTGGGCTCTGGGTTGTTCTTCGTGCTTTCATAGTCCCTGACCCTCTGCTCACGATCATTAAGGACCTTCATGTTGGTGAGTGGGCCCGGGTAAAACTACGTTGCCGGGAGTCAGAGCCATTCCCTATACACCTTGGGGTGCGACGGGGATGTCCTCTGGCTCCCACATTATTTAACATCTATTTTGACCACGTAGTTCGTGAAGCCTTCAATAGCTGTACCGGGGGAATTTCCATTTGGTACAGATATAATGGGAGACTGATTGATGCCCGGGGGCGGTCAAGGGATTGCTCCCTATTGGTCAACCACGTTATGTATGCCGATGATTTGGTAATTGCTGCTCATTCAGAGGAGGAGTTAGAGACGCTTCTGCTGAAACTGGAATGTGCCACTAAGAGGTGGGGCATTACCATTAGCCCCACCAAAATTAAGCACCTGCCTGGGTATTTTGTACCATCAGACACTCCACCCCCACAACTCTCAATCGGTGATGGGGCAGTTGTGGAGAGAGTGGAAAGTTTCCCATACCTGGGCAGTGTGCTCATGACCGGCTCCGGTTTGGCAGCGGAGGTCTCACTCCGAATCAGTCGAACAGCAATATCTTTTCATCGGTTGCGTAACGCTGTGTGGAAGCTGCCTGGTCTGTCACTCCGCTCGAATTTTCAGGTCTTCTCGGCCACAGTCATTCCCTCCCTTCTCTACGCTTGCGAAACGTGGACCACCCTAATGGAGCATCTTCGCCGGTTAAAAACATTTAGGCTGGCCTGCCTACGATCCATCCTGGGTTTAACCAGGCTGGATTGTGTGAGGAGCTCACAAATCCTTGAAAGATCTGGGCAAAGTCCCATCGGTGAGCTCCTCCGGCAGGCAAGGCTGCGTTGGCTGGGTCATGTAGCCTGCATACCCAGCCACCGCATGCCTAAACAGCTTTTGTTCGGCCGGATCGAGGGGGCTAAATAGGCGCAGCACGGGCTAGAGAAAAGATGGAGTGATGTGGTACAGGAGGACGTGGAGCTGAGTGGACTTGTCGATGACTGGTACCAGCGGTGTCAAGATCGGCCTCAGTGGAGGAGGCTCGTGAAGGACGCTACTGGGCAGTTGGAGGCAGTTGCCCTCCAACACCAACGAAGGACGGAGGAGTGACGCTCACAACAACGAGCGGAGTGCCGGGTGGCTAAAGCACAGCAAGTTGGCACAGTAGGGGGCACAGGTGGTGCATCAGGCAGCCATCTCAGTCATCTCAGTCAGTCGACCCGTGGCACCTGGGTCTGCCCCGTGACCTCCTGCCAGCGGGCGTTCGACACTTCACGTGGCCTCAAGGTGCACATGGCCTGGCACAAGCGTCGTGGTGATGTCACCGCCACTTAGTGGCGAATGGCGGTTGTTGTTGTGTGTCTGTGTGTGTCTGTGTGTTTGTGTGTGTCTGTGTGTGTGCGGTAGTGTAGTGATTAGCGCGCTTCGCTAGGAACCTTGCCACCCAGGGTTCGATTCCCGCTCACGGCCACCAACACTGGTGTCGCGTGCCGTGCCGGCCTTCATCGGTGCTGCTCGCTACGGCTACACGGGGAGGCCCAGGAGCGGCTGAGGTAATCGTCAGCAGTGTTGGTGGCCGTGAGCGGGAGTCGAACTTGGAGGGCAGCGTGGTGTTCACCGCAATAATACTGCCCGCTCCCCGACTGGTACACGGTACGTACAGTGCAGGGTGCACAGAACTCGCGGCGTCTCTCACACGGTCCGGGTCTCTGCGTGGAGAGCGGGAGACGAAGGCGAGGGTCACACAGGGTCTCAACACGAGTCACGTCACATCACAGACTCATCCTCACCGTTAACCAACATCATCAACACAAACCCACATCATTAACACGGACCCACATCATTAACAAGAAACTCACATCAACACGAGCTTACATCATAACCATTCACCCACAACACTGCACATCTGTGAGAAAAAGCTGTATAGCTCATCAGACTCCTCCAGTATAAGTATTCTGATTCTGACATGAACTCACATTGTCACCACTCACAACACACCACCACTATCAGTAACACCACTAACACCACCATTCCTCCTGCCAGTACACTACACAGACACACACACGTCCTCACCACTCACATAACCACTCACTCACAGGTTTTTTTTCCGGTAAAGTCACGTAGGTAAAACATCAAAATTAATAAAAATAAAACAAAAATCACGACGTTTCGGAGGCAACACAAGTCTCCGTCATCAGGTGGGACCGTCACAGCCGGATTAGCTGCATCAAGTGAGGCAATGATTCAAGATGTAATCCCTTAAAAGCAAGTTGAGGGGGAGGAGAGGGGGGGGGGAGCTCATCAGAATGTGGTAGCCAATGAATGGAACGTATCGGGAGGGAGGGGGGCGGGGCTCAAAGACGGCACGGAGTGCCACGTACAACGCATCGGGAGGGGGAGGTGAGCGGGGCCAAAAGAATGGACGACGGCGTGGACGCGGTTGCTGTTGCATAACGCCAACGCATTGGACAGAGAGGGGGAGGGGAGGCCTGATACACATGATAGAAAAAGAACGAAAATGCCCATGTTTATACCAATGCTGGCTGAACAATGAAGAGAGTACTGTTAAACACTGGGGATGTTAACACTCGGTAAAGTAAAGTAAAATAGTGCCTGTCAGATAAGATGGTCAAAAAAAGTGTAATTAAGTTTTTTTTGCGTGGTTGATCACATCTTTCCAATGATTACTAAGTTTGTACCCATCATCACGGTTGAAATTATGTCTGTGTTTGTATATTTGTATGGCTTCGTGTACAAACCTTTGATGGTAGCCGGGAGGTTTGCAGAGAACCTTGGTCTCGGAAAAGACAATTTCATGAGAGACATTTCCTCCAGAGTCGCCGCCTGTGACAAATAAAAATCGCCAGAAGTGGGGGCGGGGCCCGGTGAGCACGCCCTCGTGACGCAACAGCCCGTAAGCCCCTCCCCCCCAGTACCTTCCCCACCCCGACGCCCCCCTCCCCCCACGAACACCACCAAAGACAAAGCTCCGCCGTAATAGCCTTAACAGACCACCACTAACACCACCACTAACAACAATCCCACCATTAACCACCACCACTAACACCCCCACCACCAATAACAACCCCACCACCACTAACACCCCCACCACCACTAACACCACTACTACCACACCACCACTAATACACAGCTCGGATCCACTCCTCTCAGCTGATCTCCACACGCGATGCTGCTGCTGCTGCTTCTGCTGCTGCTCTCTCTGCGCCTTTCGACCGCCGCCTTTCGTCCAAACCTATGGGTGAGTACATGTGTTTGTATACATGTTTTTTCGTGCCTGTGTGTTGCTGTTAAAGGTTATATTGGTTATGTTTGTATTTTGTAATTCACAGGTTCACAGATTTTTGGTTCCCCTGCGTACCTTGCCCCAGAGGCATACCTGGGCCACATGTCATCTTTCCCGGTTGACATGTGGGGGCTGGGGTGTACAGTGGCCGAGTTGGCTACCGGGCGCATCCTCTTTCCGGCCATCAACAAACACGACCAGCTCCCGTGTTATATGGAGGTATTGCCCACACAGCAGTAACACTGACAATTCCGTTATTGAGTGATCAATTTCATGACCAATTTGCTCTTGAAATCGCGCAACTCAGTCATTGCTTCTAACCATATTTTTCACTTCTCATCGAGTATTTCCGCATCAAGGGTATTAAAATAATATTCAGAATTGGTATGACCAATTGAACATGCGACAGGAAATACTTCCTTACAATTCCCTGAGCAGACCACTTGAGTCGTCTCTTCTGTGAGAAAGAGGCGTACGACTGCTCGCGACTGGTTGCATGGTTGTCCACACACAAGCTACTGAGTTGGATACAACCGCATGACAGAACCAATTACTCAGGCGTAGACCTGTCAAGGTAACTGTGAGCGGAACGCATAGATTTTTAGAGCTGGTGTTATGACTCGTGATAGATTATTGCATGAGGCCACGGATTGGCCAAATGTAACCCTACACCACCTGCAAATAATTTGAATTGTCAGATGAACGAGCATTTATCGCGCCAATTATTGTTGTTTCATCTCAACTGCTTGTAATGAAGAAAATTCTCACAACCATATAAGCAATTTCAAATGACGCCACGGGACCCATTACCTCCGCTGTGAATGAGGCAGATGGTGCATAGTATTTTGTGGTTTAATACCGCAGTAAAGACCAGGGCAGTCACTGGGATTGATCCGTGAACTTCTGCAACGTGCGGCGTTCGCGGTTTTGCTGGGCCATGCCAATAACACTGCCCCGTGCCTGCATGCGAGAACCATCGGGAGCGGTAGCCGAGTGGTTAGCACCCTGACCGTGTGGTGTTGAATGTTGGACCAGTCCTTGGCCTCTCAAATATCGACTCAGCATTAAATCAATACCTGGAGTGATTTGTAAAATAGTTGCTGTGGTGTGGCCTTGGGTGCTGTGCCATCATCAGTAGGTGCTCACAAACAGAACTTTCCACACAAGTGTGTCAATACTGTATGGGTGATCATTGTCTCTGTGTGAATTGTGTGTAGATCCTCGGGATGCCGCCTCAGAATTTGATTGATGACGCGCCTGAGAGAAACAAGTACTTTGGTGAGTGAAGGGGCGTGCGGGGGAATCGCGTTAAGTTTGAGGGGGAGCTGGGTCCGTTAAGAGTCTAGTGGGGCATTACTTTGTATATTCAACTACTTCCACATGTGTTTTGGCAGTCAATATGATTCGTAATGCATTTTGCATTTTTGGGAATGTCTGTGTGAGGCTGTGTGTCTGTGTGAGATTCTATGGGTCTATTTGCAAGTATATTGTCCCTGTGCGAGTCTTTGGGTTTCTGTGTCAGTCAATGTCTGTGTGTGATTCTATGTGTCTTAGTGTAAGTATATTGTCTGTGTGTTTCGATGGGTATTTGTGTGAGTCAATGGGTGTCTGTGTCTCTGTGCGAGTCTGTGTCTCTGTGTTTGCCAATGTGTCTTCCTGTGATTCTATGGGTCTTTGGGCAAATATAGTCTTTGTGTGAGCTATGGGTCTCTGTGTGAGTCTATGGGTCTATGTGTGTGTCTATGGATATATGTTTGAGTCTATGGGTCTCTGTGTGGGTGTATGGGTCTATGTGTGGGTGTATGGGTCTATGTGTGAGGTTATGGGTCTCTGTGTGAGTCTATGGGTATCTGTGTGAGTCTATGGGTGTCTGTGTGAGGCTGTGTGTCTGTGTGATATTTTGTGGGTCTAATTGCAAGTATATTGTCCCAGTGAGTGAGTATTTGGGTTTCTGTGTGAGTCAATGGGTGTCTGTGTGAGGCTGTGTGTCTGTGTGTGAGTCTATGGGTCTTAGTGCAAGTATATTGTCTTTGTGTGAGTTTATGGGTCTCTGTGAGTCTATGGGTCTCTATGTGATTATATGGGTCTTTGTGCAAGTATATTGTCCCTGTGTGAATCTATGAGTCGATGTATGTCTGTGTCTCTGTGTGATTCAATGGGTCTTTGTGAAAGTATATTGTTTCTGTGTGAGTCTATGGGTCTCTGTGTGAGTCAATGGGTGTCTGTGTGAGGCTGTGTGTCTGTGTGAGATTCTATGGGTCTATTTGCAAGTATATTGTCCCTGTGTGAGTCTTTGGGTATTTGTGTGAGTCAATGGGTGTCTGTGTCTCTGTGCGAGTCTGTGTCTCTGTGTTTGCCAATGTGTCTTCCTGTGATTCTATGGGTCTTTGGGCAAGTATAGTCTTTGTGTGAGTTTATGGGTCTCTGTGTGAGTCTATGGGTCTCTGTGTGTGTCTATGGGTATATGTTTGAGTCTATAGGTCTCTGTGTGGGTGTATGGGTCTATGTGTGGGTGTATGGGTCTATGTGTGAGGTTATGGGTCTCTGTGTGAGTCTATGGGTATCTGTGTGAGTCTATGGGTCTCTGTGGGATTTTTTTCTCTGTGTGTGTCATTGGGTCTCGGTGTCTATGGGTCTGCGTGCAAGTATATTGTCCCTATGTGGGTGTATGGGTCTCTGTGCGAGTCAATGGGTGTCTGTGTGAGGCTGTGTGTCTGTGTGAGATTCTATGGGTCATTGTGCAAGTATATTGTTCCTGCGTGAGTCTTTGGGTTTCTGTGTGAGTCAATGGGTGTCTGTGTGAGGCTGTGTGTCTGTGTATGATTCTATGGGTCTTAGTGCAGCCGTCCTCCCCTAATTAGCGCGAATAATCGAGAGTCTACTGTACTTGGCTCCCATTGCCACTGCTTTGCAGCACTGAGTAATGAGCGAAAGCCCACGAGCACAAGGGGACAACATTCACAGGGCCGCACAGACAAGTCACGTGCCCCAACTTTCTATACTGCCACCTTTCAGCCCCATGAGTTTACAGGCACGTGCCACCACCTCGGTCAGATCAGTAAATGCAATCACGTAAAATTGTCCATTGCAATGATTGATGTTGATTGACGTGGCTCTGTTGCTGTCCCCTTTGTGGGCCGAGTCGTCTGCGCGGGAGCAGGAAATTGTTATCATTGAGCACGCGCATCGATCTATCGTGAGTTCTACAATTTTAGTTTAATTCATTAACCAACTCAATTTTCTTAACTTAAACATAACTTATACCACTATACTTTAGTGGTTTTTGGCATAGAGATCCACGGAAGATGAATATTTGGGATTATCCACGATTTTGAATTATCCGTGGCCATCCTCCCGGTCATTAGTGTGGGAAATGGATAGTCTACTGTAATCAACAATCCTTTTTTGGCCCAATATTGAATAATCCTTTGATAAACACATGCTTGGTTTTGTTTTTCCAAGGTAAGTCCCAAATAGCAATAGGATTCATACCAACCCCTCTTGTACATTTGATCACCTTTTCAAGTTGCTGCGATCCCCAGTCGGTCGCACAGAGGTGATGCGTAAAGTAAAGGCCGACCGAAATTCGGTTTCGGTGCCGAAAGTTGGCAAATGGCCGCTTTCGACATACGTTCGGTTTCGGCCGAAAGTACATTTTTTACTTTCGGTTTACTTTCGGTTTCGGCCGAAACTGATATTGACTTTCGGTCAACCGAAGATCTATTTTTAGAATATAACGCTAGTGCTACGTTTATCTCTCTGCCTATCGGCCGGTCAGTCGGCGCTAGGCAATCCTGCGATAGGCTGCAAAAACACATCAGCAGCAGCTTGGGAGCGAGGTTACAGCCGCAACGATGGTCTGTTAATGTCAACAGACGGCAGCCTGCTTTTGCATCCGTGGGTGGAGTCTCTTTGGCGGGACGACAACAAAGTGCCGTTGTTGTCTGTTCCCAGCCGCCTGCCCGCCTTGGCTTATGTGTTGCGTTCTCTTCAGTCTATACGCGTGTTGATACCGAGATTCGAAGTCTGACAATATTCTTCTTGGTTCTTTCGGTAAAGTCACTTAGAAGGGAAGTAATAAAATAATAAAAATAAAACATAATAAAAAAATGAAGAATTCTTCACCTGAGGACAGCTGCTTGCGTTGTGGCCGAAACGTCGTGAGAATTATTTTATTATGTTTTATTTTTATTATTTTATTATTTCCCTTCTATGTGACTTTACCGAAAGAACCAAGAAGATGAATCCCTGCAGTCACGAAAGCTTTAAATCGAAATCTGACAATATTGTTATTCAGTTAGTTAATAGTTACGTAGCGAATTAGTGATAACAAAATTACGAATCTGAGTGAAGTAGAAAATTAAACTTAATAAACGGAGCAGTTAATCACTAAAGTCGATTCTGATGCAAGAAACAGCAACCTGCTGGGCGAGAATGCGGAAAAACTGGTATTTCTTAACTACAACATTCGTTTGTTTAGATATAATCACTAAGTAACACCTAAAGATTTGATATTTAACGACTCTTACTGCAGGCTCTGAATGATTAGTTCTAGATACATATTTTATTAAAGTAGCATTGCATCATGACCTATATATAAAAAATGAAAATTTGTGAATGTGTCTGTTCAAAATGTTTAGCGTACTTCCTGACATGCAACAAACTTTAAATTTGCCATGTGGGTACTTTCCATACTGTACACCATGCATACACTTTGGTATTATTTTTTGGGGGGGGGGGGGGTGCAATAATGCATATATTTTGCACGGCAAGCGAGCTGTGACGTCACATCTGTCATGTCACCCGCGCATGTGTAGCGCTTAGCGCTACGAACATGGCGTGGTGCTGGCCACCCACCCCCTCGTGTGCCATGCCGGCCTTCATAGGTACTCGCTAACAGCACTTGCCCCCTACAGTCTCACAGGCTACATGGTGGATTTTTGTCCTTATCCTGTGTGTATGTAGGGGGGGGCAGCGACTGCGTAGCGATTCGCGCGCTGCGCTACAAACCCGACGACCAAAGTTCAATTCCCACTCATGGCCACCGCCGGTGACGATTATTTGAACTGGTCCTGGGCCTCCCCTAGGTCGACTCAGCCTCAAACGAGTAAGTGGTGTGTCAACATCGCCACTGGGGAGACAAAGGCAGCCGGCCGTGGTGAATCCAAGTCCCGGGCGAAGCCGGGTAGTAAAGCTAGTATTTCATAAATCTTGTGTTCGGTAACTTTGGTTATAAACCTTTCTGTTTTGGTCTCGGTCGAAAGTGTAGTTAAACTTTCGGTTTCGGCCGAAAGTGAAGTTCAACTTTCGGTTTCGGCTTCGGTTTCGGCCAAAAGCCAATATTTAACTTTCGGTCTGGTTTCGGTTTGGGCCGAAACCAGAAATTCAGTTTCGGTCATCCTCTAGCGTCAATGCTTCAGCCTACAACACGCCATGGCAACGTAACTGGTACTGGGCAACTATCTGAACGCTGGAATAAAAAAAACCCGTCTTTCTTGCAACCAAAAACGGCAGGATGGATATGCATGGTGTGCATGCATAATGTGAATGTATGTCTGTTGATTATCCTATGAATAACCCAACCGATATTGGATATCCATTGTAATTTATATGCATTTATAACCTCCCCCCCCCCCGGCCTTCGGCCTAATTGCGCCACAAGTGAGACATCACATTTATCTCTTGAGAAATCCTCCTGCTTCGCTCTTAACAACCCTGGCTATCGCCTGTTGATGTGAGTTGGAATTACTGACAAAACGTCGTACTCGAATTGTAAATTTTATTTTATACCTACGTGACTTTACCAAAAGAACCAAAGAGTATTGAATTGTAAATGTTGGGGGTTTACTCTCGAACACACCAGTGTGCTGAACTAGTAACGAATTAGCACGTTTTGATTACGTGACAAACCTCACTACAGTAATTGGCTGTGTTGGCGGTGGCGGGTTGAACGACACATTCATATTTACGTCGTCTAACCCAAAAACCTCGATTATGGATAATGGTCGTGAAAGCTTGAGGTCTTCTTGGGGTAAACAAACTTATGAATATTTATGTTGAACTTCTTTCGCACCGTACATAGCCAACTGTGCTAATCGGAGGTGTGGAAATAGAAAAAGCCTTGGTTGGGAACGCAGCTAAAAGGCCTGGTGACAGAAGTGACCTGTCTGCTATTTTACATCTCTAGGTTTCAATCAACTCATTGCCCAGCATAAATTTAAACGTGAACTCGACTACGGGAACAGACCTGAATCTGACCGTCAGAACGGAGGCTTTGGATTCGGGCCGTGGCCCAGGTGCAGTGGTTTGTGCTGTACAGAGCCCTCGACAAGATCGGTGCCAGACGCCAGCGCCGCGGCCGCCCTGCGCGAGCGACCGCTCGGGGTAGAGCGGCCGAGGCTTCCCACCAAATCGCTCCTCCAGCATTTCCTTCAGCCTGCACGCCCCGCACACACAGGCCGCAACGCGATGTCCACACACAATAACAAAAAATGCCACACTCCAAGTGCTATGAGGCTCCATCCACACGGTGGCGCTGCTACACAAAGCAATGAAGCACGGCTGTTACGAAGACTTAGGGAGTTTAGTCATTTGTGGAATTGTTTTTTTAACTTGTCATGGGACCTTGTTGTCAGCATCGAAGTATAAAGAATAACAATAAGTTTTACCCTTTCTGGCAATAAAACATGTCTTAAGATGTTCAAACACCAAATAGATCACGTTACATTTTTCATGAATGGAAAACTTGTTTCTCTAGTCCAGCGGTCGGGAACCTATGGCTCGCGAGCCATATATGGCTCTTCCGGTGACGGCATATGGCTCCCAGACAATTTTGAGTTGGAAAAAATAATAATAATAAAAAATCAGTTTGGAACTGATTTTAAAATACTTGTGATATTGTTTAATAATACTGTGTCATTTTAAAGTAAACAGAAATTAGTTTTGAAGATAAATTTCACGGGTCACGCCTGCATGAAGCTCAACCTCACCACGTATGAACCAGACTACAAGGCCATCAGCAAAACCATGCAGCACCAGAAGTCGCATTAAAAGTAAGACATATTTAATTTATTATACGTTAAAAATACTATATGGCTCTCAATGAAATATATTTAGAAATATTTGGCTTTTATGGCTCTCCCAGTCAAAAAGGTTCCCGACCCCTGCTCTAGTCCATACCACGAGCCACTGGTCCAACATTCCTCGTAACATTCAGCAATTCCCTTTCTGCCACGCAACATGCTGCAGGTCAACGTTTTGGAGGGCGTTGGCTCTGCATAGGCTATTGAGGCCCAGAGTCCTGGGCTGGGCAACAGTCGAGACCGCCGCGGGTCATTGACACGGAGCGGCCCCAACGAGTCACAACGCCGCTAGAGTGAAAGCTCGCGATCGAGAGTCGCCGCGCCATCTGAACGAGCCATGTTCCACATGGTCAGGGCTGTCAACGTTCTTGCCCAACTCACGGCGGCTCGCTTTGACGCTGCTGAGCACGCTTCCACGCATGCTCGGAATGGAGGCGGGCCGTTAACGCTCCGTGTAGAGCAAACTCTAGCGCTTCCATGTAACTCGGCTGTCTGCGCCGCGATCTACAATGTTAGCTGGAGTGCAGACTTACTGAGGATCTGATAAAGCAATCTTGAGCAATGCCACTATGTATTGGGCCTGCCTTCATTGCACCTGTGCACGTTGCGCCCACGCGAGTGGTGCCTGTATGCTTGTGGGTAGGGGATGGGTGAGGTTTGTGGGTAGGGAGTAGGGAAGGGTGAGGATTGTGATAAGGGAGTGGTGAGGGACGAGGCTTGTGGGTAGGGAAGGGTGAGGCTTGTGGGTAGGGGGTGGACACTGGGAACTGTGGGTACTCTGTGCCCGCCCTATATAACTTTATCTGCAGCGTGTTCCGCAGGCCGCGAAGGGAATTTCTGAACCTTGTGAATGTTGGACGGTGGCTGGCAGTATAGTGTCATGGTGGCGTGATATACAGGAGGGCGTGGGTTCCATCCCGACCCTGACGCCTGCTGTAAATTTGGAGTTTGCATGTTCCCTCCGCAGTCGCGTGGATTTTTCTCTGGGTCCTCTGGTTTTCCCCTCTACATTTAGATTCAAGATGCCTTAATAGTATTTGGCTAATTAAAATTTGCACATAAGCCCCTTCGTTGAACTATTATTTGTAGTGAAATGAGAGCGTAAATGGGGTTTGCTGCTGGGCTCTGGCCCAATCACACGGCCCGGGTTATTGGGGGGCGGAGCCCGGTATGGGGGGCGTGTGGGAGGGGCCGCCGTTCACCTCGGCTCCAATTGGAAGCGAGGTGAATGGGGGTGGAGCCAGCAGGGCAGTATGGGAAGGCCGTATCTGACGATCCGGAAGGGGAGGAGTCAGGGTCACGTGGGGGAGAAGATAGAAGTGGGAGCTCGGAAGAGATCGGAGGAGTTGCGGAGTAAAGAGGCTGAGCCACGTTGGGTGGTGAGAGGAGATCCGCGCCATCGGCCACGTGGCCGAAGGACCTTCAGCACGCCGTCGGCCAGCGGAGTGCGGGAGTGGAGGAGCTAACGGAGGAGCGTGCGTGGGCGCGCGTGAGGAGACGCTGGTCCCCTGTCAGGACTAGCGGGGTGTGAGGAAGAGTGGAGGAGCCGATGAGGTCGCGCGTGCGGGGCGCGCGCTAGACGACGCTGGTCCGCGGACAGGACCAGCGGGGTGCGGAGAAAGAAACTAAATAAAAGGCCAAAGGAGACCAACAGTGACCAACGAAGTCTTTTATTACAGTAGCCAGGTCACTTCTGAAAAATAGCTATATAGATCAGTAGGCACAAGCTTATTAGTTACATATTTATGTTTAATTCGTAGTTTCGTGGTAATAAATTGAAGGTGGAGGGGTTACCAGCCCATCGCACCCGTCCAGAGCCCCCGTTTAGCCACTGTGGTGGTCACAGACGCCATGAGGGGAGAGGCCAATGGGCATTGGCTCTCCCCCCACAGCACTGTCCACGACAGTGTTGCCCATTCAGGCACCGCGAGGAGGTAGGGGGTTGTTTTGCCGGACAGTGATGGGGCAGTAGTGGAGAGAGTGGAGAGTTTCCCACACCTGGGCAGTATGCTTATGACCCGCTCCAGTGTAACAGCAGAGGTCTCACTCCGAATCAGTCAAGTGGCAATATCTTTTCATCGGTTGCGTAATGCTGTGTGGAAGCTACCTGGTCTGTCGCTCCGCACGAAGCTTCAGGTTTTCTCGGCCACAGTCATTCCCTCCCTTCTCTACGCTTGCGAAACGTGGACCCCCCTAATGGAGCATCTTTGCCGGTTGGAAACATTTAGGCTGGCCTGCCTACGATCCATCCTGGGTTTAACCAGGCTGGATTGTGTGAGGAGCTCACAAATCCTTGAAAGATCTGGGTAAAGTCCCATTGGTGAGCTCCTCCGGCAGGCAAGGCTGCGTTGGCTGGGTCATGTAGCCCGCATGCCCAGCCACCGCATGCCTAAACAGCTTTTGTTTGGCCGGATTGAGGGGGCTAAACGGGCACAGCACGGGCTAGAGAAGAGATAGAGTGATGTGGTACAGGAGGACGTGGAGCTGAGTGGACTTGCCGATGACTGGTACCAGCAGTGTCAAGATCGGCCTCTGTAGAGGAGGCTCGTGAAGGACACTACTGGGCAGTTGGAGGCAGTCGCCCTCCAACAACAACGGAGGGCGGAGGAGCGACGCTCACAACAACGAGCGGAGCACCGTGTGGCTAAAGCACAGCAAGTTAGTACAGTAGGGGGCACAGGTGGTGCATTAGCCAGTCATCTCGGTCATCTCAGTCAGTCAACCCGTGGTACCTGGGTCTGCCCCGTGACCTCCTGCCAGCGGGCGTTCGACACTTTACGTGGCCTCAAGGTGCACATGGCCTGGCACAAGCGTCGTGGTGACGTCACCGCCACTTAGTGGCGAATGGCGGTTGTTGTTGTGTGTCTGCACCTGGTCTGTAGTGATTGAAAGGCATGGGCCAGATCAGTTCAATAACAACGGTAGGAGGCTGCTAGATTTTTGTGCAGCCAATGATCTTGTAATTACCAACACGCTGTTCCGGCATCGGCGCATCAACACAACATCACGGATGCATGCTGGATCCAAGCAAGAACATCTGCTGGACTACATAGTGACGGATCAGTGGATGCGAGCCCATGTCCTTGACACCAGGACCTACCGTGGAGCTGATCTGCCCTCTGACCATCGACTGACTAGTCATCTGTAAGATGCGCCTGCCATTCTTCCACTCCGGTGGTGGATGTACATCCAAGACCCCATTCCAACCTAAGGTGGCCTGGTCTCAGTTAGCTTATGAAAGTTGCAAGCGAGAATTTCATCAACGCTTGCGGCTGGGGTTGGCATCGTCCCCCACTCCTGATGTCGAGAGTAAATGGGCAAGGTTTAGGACTGTGACTCATGCAGCTGCAATGGCTGCTTTGGGAACGTGGTCCAGACCTCCCCAAACACCCTGGATGACAGAGGAGGTGTTCAGGATGGTTGAGAAAAAGCGAAAGGCCCACTCTAATCGTCTACAGCATCCCACATCAGAGAATGAGGAGGCTTACCGCAGCCTTCGCTCGGAGGTTCGGAGAGCCGTGAGGCGCTGCAAGGATGGGTGGTGGTCACGGGTTGCTGAGGAGATAGGAGTCTGCCTCAGTGGCCCACAAGAACAAATCGCTCTTTAATTTCATGACAAAAGTAACCTGCAGCGCCACACCTATTACCATCATTAGGGGAAAGAATGGTGATCCAATCTCCGACCCCCAGGAACAAGTTTGCAGAATTTCTGAGCATTTCTGTGAGGTCCTAGGGTAGGGGAAATCCCTTACCCAGGAAAACAACGTGGGACAAAGTGGGGATGACCCTGCTGAGGCTGCGGTGCCTCAAATATTGGAAGTCACCCCCTGTGAGTGGCTGGCTGAGGTGCCATTGGTTGAGGAAGTACGGAAGGCGATCCAGAGTCTGAGACCAGGAAAGGCACCGGGCAGAGATGATCTCCCAAGCAAAATGCTGAGGGAGGGTGGCGTTTGTGCACAGACTGCCCTACATGACATCATAACAACAGTCTGGACCACTGGACGGGTTCCATAGGACTAGAAATATGCCCTGGTGGTCCCCCTCTTTAAGAAGGGGGACCGCACAGACTGTAACAACTACAGGGGCATCTCACTCCTCAGTATGCCGGGAAAGGTCCTGGCAAGGATTATTCAACATCGCCTTGCTAGGCACGCTGAGAGGCTTGCGGAGCCCCAATGCGGTTTCAGGAAAGGGAGGTCTTTCACATATGCCATATTTTCTGTCTGTCTGCTACAGCAGAGGTGTAGGGAATTCCAACAAGACCTACATCTCTGCTTTATTGATCTGGTCAAGGCCTATGATACCATCAGTAGGCCTGGGCTCTGGGTTGTTCTTCGTGCTTTCATAGTCCCTGACCCTCTGCTCACGATCATTAAGGACCTTCATGTTGGTGAGTGTCTTTTATTACAGTAGCCAGGTCACTTCTGAAAAATAGCTATATAGATCAGTAGGCACTTAAAATAAAAAAGTTTAGTTTATAGCAGTTAGTGTAAAAAAAAGAGAAATGCAATAAACATGTCACCACGCATTATCGCGCACACGGAGATGAGCCGAGCGGCCGCAGAGGCGAGGGGGAGAGCGGTCATGCTCACGTGGGTAGGAAATTTCCAAGCGCTTCGTCGGGCTGCAGGTAGAAGGAGGCCGGGGACCTGACGAAGGAGACGAAGGTGTGAGTAGGCGTCATCGCAAAACACCAATACCCCCCCTAGCCACGGGGCTAGACACAACACAGATAATCCCCCTAGCCACGGGGCTGGACACAACACAGATACCCCCCTTGCCACGGGGCTGGACACAACACCAATACCCCCCCTTGCCACGGGGCTGGACACAACACAGATACCCCCCTTGCCACGGGGCTGGACACAACACAGATACCCCCCTTGCCACGGGGCTGGACACAACACAGATACCCCCCTTGCCACGGGGCTGGACACAACACCAATACCCCCCCTTGCCACGGGGCTGGACACAACACAGATACCCCCTTGCCACGGGGCTGGACACAACACCAATACCCCCCCTTGCCACGGGGCTGGACACAACACAGATACCCCCCTTGCCACGGGGCTGGACACAACACCAATACCCCCCCTTGCCATGGGGCTGGACACAACACCAATACCCCCCCTTGCCACAGGGCTGGACACAACACAGATACCCCCCTTGCCACGGGGCTGGACACAACACAGATACCCCCTTGCCACGGGGCTGGACACAACACAGATACCCCCCCCCTTGCCATGTAGCTGGACACAACACAGATACCCCCTTGCCACGGGGCTGGACACAACACAGATACCCCCCCTTTCCATGCGGCTGGACACAACACAGATACCCCCCTTGCCACGGGGCTGGACACAACACAGATACCCCCTTGCCACGGGGCTGGACACAACACAGATACCCCCCCTTGCCAGGGGGCTGGACAAAACACAGATACCCCCCCCCCCCCCCTTGCCATGGGGCTGGACACAACACAGATATCCTCCTTGATACTGGGCTGAGTGCATAAGCAACTGAAGTAGAATTGTGTTAAATAAAGTACATACAGTAAAAAACTCATGAAATAAACTTAAATGAAGAAAACTAGCAATAGAAACATGGGGAAAAACAAGCTCTCAGCATATAAAACAAGCAATGACATAATGCTACGAAATGAAAGAATTACATAAGACGACAATAAATGCCTTAACCCTCGTGGAGCTCAAGCGAGGCGTAAGGTTGCCCCTCGCCTTACGTCTCGCTCCACGGTATTCATCCGCAAACCTCACTGTGCTGCAATATTTGCGCTTACGTAATTAACGCAAGAATGTCTGCATATCGATGTTTTATTGTTACATGATTTATGGAAGCATTCCCATTAGGTTAGATTTCCTCAAGTCAGATATTTCGCAACCTGTGGACTGTCTGTACATGAAGGAAGATTCGCATTGCCGTTTACGACAGATGCTGGTTAGTGAAGAGCATTCCAGATTGTAGAATGCCGGATAACAATATATTTTCCTGTATTTTAATACATCTTTACTTTCCAACGATGAGCTGTACTAGTCATGAATTGGCATGTTTTGGTTACGTGACAAACCTTACTAATTGACCGTATTGGGTGGTGCCGGGATTAACGACATTTATTATATTTACGCAATCTAACCCAAAAACCTCGATTATGGACATTGGTCGCGAAAGCCTGCTACATATTCAACTGACAGCTTGGTAAGTGTACCATTAAAATGTCAAGCAGCAACATTTTCAAAAAGAGAAAGCGTACAAAAAAGATGGCATCACCGTTTGTCCCTCTCCGATTGCTTGCCAAATACAAGGAAACTATTGCAAACGTGGCAGAGTGAGTAAAACTCGTAACTGCAAATCACAGACAGAAGCAAGCGACATCTTGTGTCGTTGACTCGGATTCATCCATTCTGGTCCCTTGCAAAATGTTTTTGACAATGCCTGAAAAACTTCGCTTTCACTGTTAACAAATAAATCTTTGGCTCATATTTGCAGGTTGTTTTATCCACTGCAGTAGCACCCAGTTACACCACTGGGGACTTCACATGAAACCAGCCGAGAGGCGTTTTGATAACACGTTCACATACAAAAGACAAAGATCCCCCGTGTAGCCTTAACAGACTGTTGGGGCAAGTGCCGATAGTGAGTAGCAGAGGTGTGGACTCGAGTCATGTGACTTGGACTCGAGTCAGACTCGAGTCATGAATTTGATGACTTCAGACTCGACTTGGACTTGCATAACAATGACTTTGTCCCACCTCTGAGGTGTGGACTCGAGTCATGTGACTTGGACTCGAGTCAGACTCGAGTCATGAATTTGATGACTTCAGACTCGACTTGGACTTGCATAACAATGACTTTGTCCCACCTCTGGTGAGTAGCATCCATGAAGGCCGGCACGGCACGAGAGGGTGTTTGGCCAACATCAAGCCCGGCCGCCTTTGTCTCCCCAGTGGCGTTGTTTACACACTGTACCAGGTACTCATTTGACGCCGAGTCAACTTTAGGGGAGGTCCAGGGCTGGTTCATATAATCGTCACCAGTGTTGGCGGCCATGAGCGGGAATCGAACTCGTGTCGCCGGGTTCGTAGCGCAGCGTAGCGCTAACCGCTGCACTATTGTGCACATGCAGGCAGATACAAACACCCTGACATACACACTCGTACACAACGTGGCCATACGACTGTCGTAGCTGTACCTTGCAGGTCGGGCACACAAACTCGCAGCCCGCGCGTGCCTTTGTCCTGCAGGCATGCTCCACACAAGACGCGTGTCCGCACACCGGCAGCAGGTAGGGGCGGCTGCGTGACGCGTCCCAGGCTCCACTGGGAAACAGACATTTTTTAAAATCCCAACCAAGGCTTGGGATCAGAACAAGTGCTAAGGCAGCACCTGACGCGCAAAGACAGCGTCGACTTTTCCCATTTGAAAGCGGCCACTCCTCGTCATCATCACAGATTAAGGGGTCTGTAATTATGACGATAGACCTGATTTTCATTCAATCAGGTCTATAATTGAATGACAATCGTAGACCTGATTTTCATTCATTTAGGATTTTCTTTGGACGTCAGCTAATAAAGTAGATTATCGATTATTCGTGCTGACAGGGAGGACAGCCGCGGATAATTCAAAATCGCGGACATTAGATTACTTTTATTTAAACTATGAACTTCATACATTAACAGTACATCTAGCAACTAATTTACCTGGTGGTATTGAAACAATTCTTACATGCTTGTGTTGAACCAATGCCGCTTGAAATGATACAACAGCAGGCGTTGACGATGAAAAGCGTAAAAAACTATTCTGAGTTTATTGTCCCTTATTTTATGGCCTGCTCAGATCTTCTTTCGGGGACTCAATTCGCTACTTTTAGCTCTGAACATCAAGCGTAGCGAGTGAGCCTCTATGAAGGCCAGCAGCGTGCTGTTAGTGGTCGTGTAAGCAGAATCACAGCCGTCTTTGTCTCCCGAATCTACACTCGCAATGAACCGAGTACTCATTTAAGGCCGAACTGACCTAAGGGAGGCTCCCAAGAATGGTTTATATTTCGAGTTGCCGCTGTTTCTCCCCGTCAGAAATTAAATTACCTTCACGCATCTTCATGTGGCGTCTCCTTGAGACGACTGTAACTGCACGAGCTAAAGGCGTGTCTTTCTGTAAGCGCCACACTGCCTTACGCGAGACTTCAGTTTTACATTTTCCATCATCTACTCCTTTAACGGATGTAGAAATGTAAACTAACTTCTTTCGCACCGTACGTAGCCAATGGTGCTAATCTGATGTGCGGAGCAAGAACAAACACTAAAACACAAAACGCACGCGCATGTAGGCCGTGCTATAAACAATTACCTTTGATTTCCTGTGCGGGCAAGGACGATACAGTCCACTAAAACTACGAGCACGCGGCACACCACCAGCGGCCACGTCTCCTGCCGCGTGTGCAGGCGGTGCAACTGCACGGGCCCACACGGGCGGGGAGTTGCTGCAGTGCCATGCCACGTGGAGCAGAGGGGGGCATTGGCAGGCTTCATTCTTGTGTTTCTTGCACCAGAACCAGACTCTCACACAGAGACCCAGATACTCTCACACAGAGACCCTCACACAGAGACTCTCACACAGAGACCCAGAGACTCTCACACAGAGACCCAGAGACTCTCACACAGAGATTCTCACACAGAGACCCAGAGACTTACACAGAGACCCAGAGACTCTTACATAGAGACCCAGAGACTCTCAACAGAGATTCTCACACAGAGACCCAGAGACTCTCACACCGAGACCCAGAGACTCTGACACAGAGACCCTCACACAGAGACCCAGAGACTCTGACACAGAGACCCTCACACAGAGACCCAGAGACTCTTACACAGAGACCCTCACACAGAGACCCAGAGACTCTCACACAGAGACCCATAGACTCTCACACAGAGACCCAGAGACTCTCACACAGAGACCCTCACACAGAGACTCTCACACAGAGACCCAGAGACTCTCACACAGAGACACAGAGACTCGCATACAGAGACCCTCACACAGAGACCCAGAGACTCTCACACAGAGACCCAGAGACCCTCACACAGAGACCCAGAGACTCTCACCCAGAGACTCAGAGACTCTCACCCAGAGACTCAGAGACTCTCACCCAGAGACTCTGAGACTCTCACACAGAGACCCAGAGACTCTCACACAGAGACCCAGAGACCCTCACACAGAGACCCAGAGACTCTCACCCAGAGACTCTCACACAGAGACCCAGAGACTCTCACCCAGAGACTCAGAGACTCTCACCCAGAGACTCAGAGACTCTCACCCAGAGACTCTCACACAGAGACCCAGAGACTCTCACCCAGAGACTCAGAGACTCTCACCCAGAGAATCAGAGACTCTCACCCAGAGACTCTCACACAGAGACCCAGAGACTCTCACCCAGAGACTCAGAGAATCTCACCCAGAGACTCTCACACAGAGACCCAGAGACTCTCACCCAGAGACTCAGAGACTCTCACCCAGAGACTCAGAGACTCTCACCCAGAGACACTCACACAGAGACCCAGAGACTCTCACCCAGAGACTCAGAGACTCTCACCCAGAGACTCTCACACAGAGACCCAGAGACTCTCACCCAGAGACTCAGAGACTCTCACCCAGAGACTCTCACACAGAGACCCAGAGACTCTCACACAGAGACCCAGAGACTCTCACCCAGACTCAGAGACTCTCACCCAGAGACTCAGAGACTCTCACCCAGAGACACTCACACAGAGACCCAGAGACTCTCACCCAGAGACTCTCACACAGAGACCCAGAGACTCTCACACAGAGACTCAGAGACTCTCACACAGAGACCCAGAGACTCTCACCCAGAGACTCTCACACAGAGACCCAGAGACTCTCACACAGAGACTCACACAGACTCTCACACAGAGACTCAGAGACCCTCACCCAGAGACTCAGAGACTCTCACACAGAGACCCAGAGACTCTCACCCAGAGACTCTCACACAGAGACCCAGAGACTCTCACACAGAGACTCAGAGGCTCTCACACAGAGACTCAGAGACTCTCACACAGAGACTCAGAGACTCTCACACAGAGACCCAGAGACTCTCACACAGAGACTCAGAGACTCTCACACAGAGACTCAGAGACTCTCACACAGAGACTCAGAGACTCTCACACAGAGACCCAGAGACTCTCACACAGAGACCCAGAGACTCTCACACAGAGACTCAGAGACTCTCACACAGAGACTCAGAGACTCTCACACAGAGACCCAGAGACTCTCACCCAGAGATTCTCACACAGAGACCCAGAGACTCTCACACAGAGACCCAGAGACTCTCACACAGAGACTCAGAGACTCTCACCCAGAGACTCTCACAAAGAGACTCACACAGAGACTCACACACAGAGACTCTCACACAGAGACTCACACAGAGACTCTCACACAGAGAGACTCACACAGAGGCCCAGAGACTCTCACCCAGAGACTCGGAGACTCTCACACAGAGACTCACACAGAGACTCTCACACAGAGAGACTCACACAGAGACTCACACAGAGACTCTCACACAGAGGCTCTCACACAGAGACTCACACAGAGGCCCAGAGACTCACGCGGCAGCGACTCCGTGAGCAGTGATGGCGGCGCGAGACCGCGCGCGCTGGGTGACACCACGTGGTGCTGACACCACGTGCCGAGTGCGCACGCCGAGTCACGTGGGGGCGGGCGGCCATCTTACCTGGGGACAGTGCTGCACTGTAACAGTGGGGAGCGGCGGTGCAGCGGTTAGCGCGGCGCTTTGTGTAAACATCGTCACTAGGGAGACAAAGGCGGCCGGGCGTGGTCCTGGCTACCCACTCCCTCGTGTGCCGTGCATAGGTGCTCGCTAACAGCACTTGCCCCAACAGTCTGTTCAGGATATACGGGGGATCTTTGTGAGTGAGTGAGTCTGTGTGAGTGAGTGAGTCTGTGTGAGTGTGTGAGTCTGTGTGAGTGTGTGAGTCTGTGTGAGTGAGTGAATCTGTGTGAGTGTGTGAGTCTGTGTGAGTGAGTGAGTCTGTGTGAGTGAGTGAGTCTGTGTGAGTGAGTGAGTCTGTGTCAGTGAGTGAGTCTGTGTGAGTGAGTGAGTCTGTGTGAGTGAGTGAGTCTGTGTGAGTGAGTGAGTCTGTGTGAGTCTGTGTGAGTGTGTGAGTCTGTGTCAGTGAGTGAGTCTGTGTGAGTGAGTGAGTCTGTGTGAGTCTGTGTGAGTGAGTGATTCTGTGTGAGTGTGTGAGTCTGTGTGAGTGTGTGAGTGAGTCTGTGTGAGTGAGTGAGTCTGTGTGAGTGAGTGAGTCTGTGTGAGTGTGTGAGTCTGTGTGAGTGTGTGAGTCTGTGTGAGTGAGTGAGTCTGTGTGAGTGAGTGAGTCTGTGTGAGTGAGTGAGTCTGTGTGAGTGTGTGAGTCTGTGTGAGTGTGTGAGTCTGTGTGAGTGAGTGAATCTGTGTGAGTGTGTGAGTCTGTGTGAGTGAGTGAGTCTGTGTGAGTGAGTCTGTGTGAGTATGTGAGTCTGTGTGAGTGAGTGAGTCTGTGTCAGTGAGTGAGTCTGTGTGAGTGAGTGAGTCTGTGTGAGTGAGTCTGTGTGAGTGTGTGAGTCTGTGTGAGTGTGTGAGTCTGTGTGAGTCTGTGTGAGTGAGTGAATCTGTGTGAGTGTGTGAGTCTGTGTGAGTGAGTGAGTCTGTGTGAGTGAGTGAGTCTGTGTGAGTGAGTGAGTCTGTGTCAGTGAGTGAGTCTGTGTGAGTGAGTGAGTCTGTGTGAGTGAGTGAGTCTGTGTGAGTGAGTGAGTCTGTGTGAGTCTGTGTGAGTGTGTGAGTCTGTGTGAGTGTGAGTCTGTGTCAGTGAGTGAGTCTGTGTGAGTGTGTGAGTCTGTGTGAGTGAGTGAGTCTGTGTGAGTGAGTGAGTCTGTGTGAGTGAGTCTGTGAGTGAGTGAGTCTGTGTGAGTGTGTGAGTCTGTGTGAGTGAGTCTGTGTGAGTGTGTGAGTCTGTGTGAGTGAGTGAGTCTGTGTGAGTGAGTGAGTCTGTGTGAGTGAGTCTGTGTGAGTGTGTGAGTCTGTGTGAATGAGTGAGTCTGTGTGAGTGTGTAAGTCTGTGTGTGAGTGTGTGTGAGTCTGTGTGAGTGAGTCTGTGTGAGTGTGTGAGTCTGTGTGAGTGAGTGAGTCTGTGTGAGTGTGTGAGTCTGTGTGAGCGAGTGAGTCTGTGTGAGTGAGTGAGTCTGTGTGAGTGTGTGAGTCTGTGTGAGTGAGTCTGTGTGAGTGTGTGAGTCTGTGTGAGTCTGTGTGAGTGTGTGAGTCTGTGTGAGTGAGTGAGTCTGTGTGAGTGAGTGAGTCTGTGTGAGTGTGTGTGAGTTTGTGTGAGTGAGTCTGTGTGAGTGTGTGAGTCTGTGTGAGTGAGTGAGTCTGTGTGAGTGTGTGAGTCTGTGTGAGCGAGTGAGTCTGTGTGAGTGAGTGAGTCTGTGTGAGTGTGTGAGTCTGTGTGTATGTGCACTTGTGGATCACCACACAAATGTTGTGAAACTCCCCGTGGTCGCTAAGGTCGCCATCTCCTGGCCTATCCAGGGTCTGGAAGCGCAGCAAGCGGAGACATTTCCATCTCGAGGGGATTTAATGTTTCCCCCTCGCACGCGTTGGTTCTCTCCCCTCACATGCATACTCGCTCTTGAATGGAACTGGGCAAACATATGCCATGCAATGGGGCCCATTGCTTCAAACATCGCCCATGATATATTTTCCTCTTAAGGCAGCCGTGGTATTAACGAATGTGTTCATTGAGTTTTATTTGTGCACCACTGCCAACGCGGTATCGACAAATTATCCCAATGTAGGACCACAGAGCTTGGGGATATTGTTGGTCGCGCCGGTTTCTGGCTGGCTGCAACACCAATGCACAACATACAGCACTAACATACAACATGTATGTTGAACTTCTATCGCACCGTACGTAGCCAACCGCGATAATCGGAGGTGCTGGCTGCTGGTGAAGAACAACAAACTAAACACAAAAAGCAGTTCTAAAGAAATGGGTTGTCAAAGACATTTAAAAGTGCAGAGCTCCAATGTCTTCCAAATATCGGAAGGAAGAGCGATGGCCGCAGAAGCGCATCTGAAAGCGGCACGCGATGAGGTGCCCGCACCCCTCCTGACCCCCCCGGGATGCACCCCAGAGCCCCCCCCCAACCCCCCTCGGACCCCCTCGGCGAAGACAGCGCAGAGTGCCGCAGCTGCCTCGCCCGCACTGTGGCACTGCAGTTGTACCACGTGGCCACACGGCGGCGGTGGAGATTACTGATCGGGCGTCCGTGTTGGTGAGCTCATTGAGACGAGCAGGGGTCCCCAACCCCCGGGCCGCTGACCAGTACCGGTCCGTGGCCTGTTAGGAACCGAGCCGCACAGCAAGAGGTGAGCGCCTCTTTCCCGCACTGCGCACTTGTCTCAGTCAGCTTCTTTGAAAAGGGGGAAAGACCCAATCATGACCCCCCCCCCCCCGTCCGTGAAAAAATTGTCTTCCATGACACCGGTCCCTGGTGCCAAAAAGGTTGGGGAGCACTGATTTAGAGGACGTCCATGTTGGTTAGGTTATTTAGAGGACGTCCATGTTGGTTAGGTTATTTAGAGGACGTCCATGTTGGTTAGGTTATTTAGAGGACGTCCATGTTGGTTAGGTTATTGAGAGGACGTCCATGTTGGTTAGGTTATTTAGAGGACGTCCATGTTGGTTAGGTTATTTAGAGGACGTCCATGTTGGTTAGGTTATTTAGAGGACGTCCTTGAATTACGTCACGCACCTAGGGGGGGGGGGGGAGTCAGACATTTGTGACGATGTGTGACGAGGGGGGGGGGGGTTGAGAAATGTGACGTCACATCAAAATGCGTAACTTTAAATAAATATAGTCAACACGTTCTACTTAATTAAATATACTTTGAATAAATGTTTTATCCTACAACATCATAGTGCAGCGGCACATTAAATACGCACTACAATGACAATACTTTAAAGCTATTTGAAGCGTGTTTTATTTTTTGTGGGGGGATGGGGGGCAGAGCTTTGTGACGTCATATTTGAGGGGGGGGGTCTGACTTTTCGTGACGCCGTGTGACGAGGGAGGGTGGGGTCAAAAGTCGTCCAAAATCGCGTGACGTCATTTATGGACAGCCCTTTAGGTCATTTAGCTCATGAGGTTTTGGTCTCATTGCCACCTCCACCATGAGCAGAGGCCGCGGGTAGAGGCCACGCACCGACACTCGGGGCAGTCGTCCCAACTGTTGAAGTGGCGAGCTGCCGGCTTGGACAGGAAGGCCATTGTCCGAAGCGTCGCCTGTATGTGTTCTTCTTTAAAGGCCGCCGGGTTATTAACGAATGTGTTGATTTTGTTTAATTCGGGATTGTGTTCGTGCGCCACTGCCATCGCAGCCAGAGATTCACCCAGGAGAGGGTGCCGTGTATCCGTGCACTCCAGTGACATCCGCAGGGCCAGGCTCGAGCCAGTGCGTGACAGAGTTATTTGCTGAACTTGATCCATGTCTATCAGAGTGGGTCCCTGCCAAGAGGACCTGGCAATTCATCAGTGTTGGTTCAAGCAAGCCTGACTGCTGATTAGTCACCAAGTGTCCAATCCTCACCAGGATGCTGCTTGTGTTGAATCAATGATGCTGCTGAGATCTACTCTCAGAAGGCTGACGGGATGAGTAGAACCACTCGCATTGTTTATGTGGAGATACGGCTATGAGGAGGCAGTTATTGAGAGATGTCAACTACCTCGCCTGGTATACAGGGAGACGTGGGTTCGATTCCGACCCCGACACCTGTATATTTGGAGTTTGCGTGTTTTCTCCGTGGTCGCGTAGATTCTTCTACGGCTCCTCTGGTTTTCCCCTCCACATTGAGAAACATACGTTTCTAGTATTTGACATATATTTTCAGATGATGAGCCACTTCATTGAGATATTATTTGTGACCAGGTAGCTTCTGAAAAAGAGCTATTGGACCAGTGGGCCTTACCTGGTAAATAAAAAGTTTAGTTCGGGCCACCTCCCGCACCACGCTTGTGAGCACAGGGACACCGCGTGCTCACCTCCAGACCGCATCACCAGCTTATACCTCGAGCTCACACCTTGAGCTCACGCCTTGAGCTCGAACTTTCAGTTCACACCTCCGGCTCATCACCTTCTGCTGAGCTCCACCAAGCACGCTCGGCTCAGGTTCTTTAATCACGAATACAGCAGCCGCGTTGTACAGACTCCACCAATATTCAGGGACATCTCCACCGCCACTCAGGGACATCACCACTGCTCAAGGACATCTCCACCACTCACAGCAGGGGCAACGGACACCACCGTTGACATTTCACAGATGTGATTGAGATGGTCAGCTGTGATTTCAGGTGCATTTTGATGACTCCATGAGAACCGTTCTTGATCTGCTGAAGTAGCAGCGATAATCCTCGTGCCACTTTTTTATTTCGTCCCAGAGCACCCTGCACCGACCGGGTCGTGACAGTGACAGCAGCAGTAGCGACATCGTGGCGCGTCACTGACACGGCTAAACACACATGAGCGGAGATGTAGTGGCGGCTGCAGGCAAAGCGCATCCCTCACATGAACAATAAATCAAGCTACACTCTAGCCCACAGATATGTCAAAGACAAAGATCCCCCGTAAAGATTTAACAGACTGGCATGCGAGGTAGCCTCAGCTAAATGAGTACCAGGCACTAATTTGAGACTGAGTCGATCACTGGTGTTGGCCATGAGCGGAAATTTAACTCCGGTCGCCGGCTTCGTAGCGCAGCACGCTAACATGCAAAGGGTGCAGCGATGTTGTAATGTTATTTATTTTGTATTATTTCTTATTTGGGGTGGTGGTGGTGTTGGTAGGGGTCAAGGTGTTTATAGAGTTGGCGTTTGTAGGATAGGTAACGTTGATAGGACTGTTGTTGGGAAGAGTGATGGTGTCGGTTGGGGTGGTCGTATTGGTAGGAGTCATTGTGTTGGTAGGATTGGTGCTGGTAGGGTTGGTGTTGGTAGGGGTAGTATTAAGAATAATGGTGTTGGTAGGGTTGGTGTTGATAGGGTTGGCGTTGATAGGGTTGGTTTTGGTAGGAGTGGTGGTGTTCGTCGGAGTAGTTGCGTTTGGTCAGGGTAGCGGTGTTGGGAGGGGTGGTAGTGTTGGTAGGTGTGCGGATTCTAAAGGTGGTGGAGTTGGGAGGAGTGGTGGAGCAGGCATTGATCCGGGCCATGAAGAGTGGTCTCTTTGCCCTCATGATCACGAGGCGGGACTCACGCTCAGCTGGGGTGATGATGTGGGAAGGAGTGGTGGTGAGGGTAGAGGAAGTGATGTTGGTCAGGGTTGGGTTATTAGAGGAGGTAGTGTTAGTAGGTGTGTGGTTGGTAGAGGTGGTGGAGTTGGTAGGAGTGGTGGAGCAGGCATTGATCCGGGCCATGAAGAGTGATCTCTTTTCCCTCATGATCATGAGGCTGGACACATGCTCAGCTGGGGTGATGTGGCTGGGAGTGGTAGTGAGGGTAGAAGAGGTAATGTTGGTAGGCGTGGGATTGGTCGAGGTGGTGGAGTTGGTAGGAGCGGGGGAGTTGGTGGTTGAGCTGGTAGGGATCATTGAGCTTATTGTAGTGCAGCGGGCATTGGTGCGGGCCATGATCATGAGGTGACACCACTCACGCTCAGCTGGGGTAATGGTGTCGGTCCTGGTGGTGGTGAAGGTGGAGAAGATGTTGTTGGTACGGTTTGTAGGGGTGGAAGAGGTGGTGGTGTTAGTCAGGATAGTATTGGTAGAGGTGGTGGTATTTGAAAGTGTGATGGTGTTAGTCGAGATAGCAATGTTGGTCGGGGTGGGGTTTGTCATGGTGGTGTTGGTAGGAGTGGTGCTGTTGGTAGGAGTGCTGGTGTTGGTAGGAGTGGTGCTGTTGGTGGGTGCGCTGTTAAGTGTTGGTGAGCTATTCATCATGGAGCAGCCATCCAGCTGAGTCTTGAGGGATCTGTGGGTCCTCTTGATTTTCATGGGGTGGCGCTTGCCCCGAGCCAATTTCCACATGGATCCTCTCATGTGGCGGCTTCGGTAAACTCGTCCACGTTGCGATGACTTCTGTTTAAAACCGGAAACAAAATCAGTATGAGAGGCAAGAGATTGCAGTCTCCTTCTTCCCCTGTTGGTCACATCCACTCAAATATTTTTTTTCACTTGCCATCTACCACACCACCACCATTGATTGAACACGGGTGTTGTACTTGCCTTTCAGTCGCAAATATCGGACAACTATTTGTAATCCACAGCATGAACAATGTGTGTGCTTGTAATAAATGTGTGCGACTTTGTCGAGGGTGTGAGTTTGATTTTTTTTTTTGGTGTTGTAACGTTCTAACCTGCCTCTCCTGGACATCTGTGAAAAATAGCTTAATAGCTCATCGGATTCCTCCAGTATAAATATTCTGATTCTGATTTGTGTCATCTATGCATGTGAGATTATGACATTTGCCTGAGTGATCTATATCCACGATGCCTCTCTGGGTGTGGTGTCTCTGTGTGTGTCTGTTGTGGTGTCCTGCTGATTCTCTATGTGACAGTGAAGCCAGCACACTCTCTCTCTCTTACCAGTTGATTCTTCCGCCAGACTCTTAGGCTGGTAATGGTGATCCCCGTGCTCTCCACGTGGTAAGTGATGGCCACCGGCCCACTGTGCAGCATCTTCATCAAGGTCGTCCACCTTGAGGGAGACGGGTATTCTCCATCTTGCGGAACCGTCATCCAACAGCCTAAAGAAGAAGCTGCTTGAGGTACCATTTCGGCCAAGTTCGACCGAGCCTTTTGTTTCGGGAGGTTGGTGGTGTGGACGGCCATCGCTGGCATGGCAGGAGGACGCGGACGCCACTGTTGAAAACATTGCACAAGTATTTGTAATGTACAGCACGACAACAAGTATCTTTCCCTCTCTTTAGTTCAGCCTTGACTAATAGCTGGATTCTCGGCAATAAACAAAAGTCATTGGTCACGTGCCATGGCCCTGCGTAGTTTGATCCTCTGGGTTTTCCCTCCACATTTAGAAACATTTATTTCGATAATTTAGATTATTTTGCTGCTATGAATGTCCAAATGATGTCACTTTGTTGATCTATCATTTGTGACCAGGTTCCGTCTGAAAAATAAGTTAGTACCTCAGTGGGCTTTGTATGATGGGGGTGGTTTAGTTTTATTTGTTTGTTTTTGGGTGATTTGTTAACCTTTCATGTACTTTGCACTATTATCATGTTTTTGTAGTATTTGTTATTGTAATGTTCTTACCAGCCCCGACTGGACATCTGTGAAAAAGAGCTTCATAGCTCATCGGATTCCTCAACCATAAATAAATAGTATTATTCTGACTCTACTGGCTGGGGAAATAGTTCTGTCCGCACCAGGGCAACTCACCAACGCCGCACAAGGACAGCTGAGTCCAGCACATGTCCCAAATGCCACGCTGCCAGTAACAAAAAACACCCTTAAAGTTGCAGTGGATAATATTTAAGCATAAATAATTGAGCAAGGTGTTTGCGACTTTGTCTAGGATGTGTGTGTGGATGTCATATATACTTGTGTGTGTGGTGTATGTGTAGGGGTGTTACGGGAGGGTGAACAAACACACGAGGGGTGGTTATGCCCGCACGCGGAAGGATGCTTATATTCACGTCCGCATCGGTTAGCCCTGGGGGGCTGTAACGGCGCTGTGATCTCCCACGGCCCCACCCCTCGTGGGGGAGTTGCTATATAAGGCGGTGAGCCGGTGGGCACGGGGTTCAGTATTCAGCCTAACTAGTGAAGAGTGAAGACCGGCTAGATAGGCCCTGGGACTCCCCTGGATCGCTGTCCTTCTAAGGACCGACCAGGGCAAGCCAGTGGCGTGGCCCCGAGAGCCCAGAGCAGATGCTCTTGTAAGAGCTGGTCTGGTGGCTAAGGGTGCCGTGATCCTAGCTTGGCCAGAGCTGGATCAGCTAGCCTCCCCTAGCTCTCGAGTGGAGGACCTGGGAGTAGGCTAGCCGGGCTAGAGTTAATGGGGTCTCCCTGTTAGACGGGTGAAGGGGCCGTTACCCCTTCGAGTGTTGTATACATTGGCCTGTGCTGAGTGAAACATTATAATAAATAAGTGTGCCTCCGACTACGTCGTCTACGTCTCATTGAACCTACTACATATGCGAGTGAGATTCTTATATCTACGCGAGTGATCTGTATGCGTGATACGTCTCTGCGTGTGGTGGCTCTGCGTGTGGTGTCTGTTGCGGTGCCACGCTATGGTCTGTGTAATCGTGAAGCTGGCACTCACCACTGCATTCTTCAGCCACACTCCGAGGCTGAGGAGGGCGATCCCTGTACTCGCCACCTCGCAGGCGATGGCCACCGGCCTGCTGTGCAGTATCTCCATGAAGGTCTTCCACCCTAAGGGAGCTGGGTCGTCGTCTTCTCCTCCTCCTCCTTGGGGAACCTCCACGCCATGGCTGGGAGAGGAAGCGACTCGAGGCTCCCTCTTGGCTTCGTGATCTGCGAGCCGGTCGCTGATGTGGACAGCCACGGTCGCTTTGGCGAGAGGTAGAGGCTGCCCGGCCTGTGGCGGTTGGACCTCCCAGGCTCCCCCCAGGTTAACCAGCCAGTTCGGGGAGAAATTCTTCTCCTCCGTGGGCCCAGACGTGAGGAACGCGTAGCTCGTCACGAGCAGCGCCACGAGGGTGCGTGAGGTACTGCGCAGCCCATGAGCCTCCATGGTGACTGCTCCGGGAGAGGCTCCAGGAGGCTTCGTGCAGAGAGGCGCTCCTCAGCACGCAGCTCGCAGCGTGGCTCCAGCGGCACACTGGGCGGAAGCGGATATGACGTCACGGCCCGAGGACGGATGTATGTTGTGTCTCATCTGTGTGTCTGTATGTCTGTGTGTGTGTGTGCGGTACCGATCCAGCTCCTGACAAAGGAGTGGCAGCCTCTCCTCCGCAGTGAGCGTTCGAACATTCCACGTGGCCATCCATAGTGGCTTTCGTTGTTTCTGGAGGAGCCCCGAGGGTGAAGATTTAATCTCCTGGCTCCGCCAATTGGGGTTTGGCCAGGAGATGTTATAGACGCCTGTCCCCCCGGGGCCTCCGGCACAAGCTTATTAGTTACATATTTATGTTTAATTTGTAGTTTCGTGGTAATAAATTGAAGGTGGAGGGGTTACCAGCCCATCGCACCCGTCCAGAGCCCCCGTTTAGCCACTGTGGTGGTCACAGACGCCATGAGGGGAGAGGCCAATGGGCATTGGCTCTCCCCCCACAGCACTGTCCACGACAGTGTTGCCCATCCGGCACCGCGAGGAGGTAGGGGGTTGTTTTGCCGGACAGTGATGGGGCAGTAGTGGAGAGAGTGGAGAGTTTCCCACACCTGGGCAGTATGCTTATGACCGGCTCCAGTGTAACAGCAGAGGTCTCACTCCGAATCAGTCAAGTGGCAATATCTTTTCATAGGTTGCGTAATGTTGTGTGGAAGCTACCTGGTCTGTCGCTCCGCACGAAGCTTCAGGTTTTCTCGGCCACAGTCATTCCCTCCCTTCTCTACGCTTGCGAAACGTACACCCCCCTAATGGAGCATCTTTGCCGATTGGAAACATTTAGGCTGGCCTGCCTACGATCCATCCTGGGTTTAACCAGGCTGGATTGTGTGAGGAGCTCACAATTCCTTGAAAGATCTGGGTAAAGTCCCATTGGTGAGCTCCTCCGGCAGGCAAGGCTGCGTTGGCTGGGTCATGTAGCCCGCATGCCCAGCCACCGCATGCCTAAACAGCTTTTGTTTGGCCGGATTGAGGGGGCTAAACGGGCACAGCACGGGCTAGAGAAGAGATAGGGTGATGTGGTACAGGAGGACGTGGAGCTGAGTGGACTTGCCGATGACTGGTACCAGCAGTGTCAAGATCGGCCTCTGTAGAGGAGGCTCGTGAAGGACGCTACTGGGCAGTTGGAGGCAGTCGCCCTCCAACAACAACGGAGGGCGGAGGAGCGACGCTCACAACAACGAGCGGAGCACCGTGTGGCTAAAGCACAGCAAGTTAGTACAGTAGGGGGCACAGGTGGTGCATTAGCCAGTCATCTCGGTCATCTCAGTCAGTCAACCCGTGGCACCTGGGTCTGCCCCGTGACCTCCTGCCAGCGGGCGTTCGACACTTCACGTGGCCTCAAGGTGCACATGGCCTGGCACAAGCGTCGTGGTGACGTCACCGCCACTTAGTGGCGAATGGCGGTTGTTGTTGTGTGTCTGCACCTGGTCTGTAGTGATTGAAAGGCATGGGCCAGATCAGTTCAATAACAACGGTAGGAGGCTGCTAGATTTTTGTGCAGCCAATGATCTTGTAATTACCAACACGCTGTTCCGGCATCGGCGCATCAACACAACATCACGGATGCATGCTGGATCCAAGCAAGAACATCTGCTGGACTACATAGTGACGGATCAGTGGATGCGAGCCCATGTCCTTGACACCAGGACCTACCGTGGAGCTGATCTGCCCTCTGACCATCGACTGACTAGTCATCTGTAAGATGCGCCTGCCATTCTTCCACTCCGGTGGTGGATGTACACCCAAGACCCCATTCCAACCTAAGGTGGCCTGGTCTCAGCTTATGAAAGTTGCAAGCGAGAATTTCATCAACGCTTGCGGCTGGGGTTGGCATCGTCCCCCACTCCTGATGTCGAGAGTAAATGGGCAAGGTTTAGGACTGTGACTCATGCAGCTGCAATGGCTGCTTTGGGAACATGGTCCAGACCTCCCCAAAGACCCTGGATGACAGAGGAGGTGTTCAGGATGGTTGAGAAAAAGCGAAAGGCCCACTCTAATCGTCTACAGCATCCCACATCAGAGAATGAGGAGGCTTACCGCAGCCTTCGCTCGGAGGTTCGGAGAGCCGTGAGGCGCTGCAAGGATGGGTGGTGGTCACGGGTTGCTGAGGAGATAGGAGTCTGCCTCAGTGGCCCGCAAGAACAAATCGCTCTTTAATTTCATGACAAAAGTAACCTGCAGCGCCACACCTATTACCATCATTAGGGGAAAGAATGGTGATCCAATCTCCGACCCCCCGGAACAAGTTTGCAGATTTTCTGAGCATTTCTGTGAGGTCCTAGGGTAGGGGAAATCCCTTACCCAGGAAAACAACGTGGGACAAAGTGGGGATGACCCTGCTGAGGCTGCGGTGCCTCAAATATTGGAAGTCACCCCCTGTGAGTGGCTGGCTGAGGTGCCATTGGTTGAGGAAGTACGGAAGGCGATCCAGAGTCTGAGACCAGGAAAGGCACCGGGCAGAGATGATCTCCCAAGCAAAATGCTGAGGGAGGGTGGCGTTTGTGCACAGACTGCCCTACATGACATCATAACAACAGTCTGGACCACTGGACAGGTTCCATAGGACTAGAAATATGCCCTGGTGGTCCCCCTCTTTAAGAAGGGGGACCGCACAGACTGTAACAACTACAGGGGCATCTCACTCCTCAGTATGCCGGGAAAGGTCCTGGCAAGGATTATTCAACATCGCCTTGCTAGGCACGCTGAGGAGAGGCTTGCGGAGCCCCAATGCGGTTTCAGAAAAGGGAGGTCTTTCACATATGCCATATTTTCTGTCTGTCTGCTACAGCAGAGGTGTAGGGAATTCCAACAAGACCTACATCTCTGCTTTATTGATCTGGTCAAGGCCTATGATACCATCAGTAGGCCTGGGCTCTGGGTTGTTCTTCGTGCTTTCATAGTCCCTGACCCTCTGCTCACGATCATTAAGGACCTTCATGTTGGTGAGTGGGCCCGGGTAAAACTACGTTGCCGGGAGTCAGAGCCATTCCCTATACACCTTGGGGTGCGACGGGGATGTCCTCTGGCTCCCACATTATTTAACATCTATTTTGACCACGTAGTTCGTGAAGCCTTCAATAGCTGTACCGGGGGAATTTCCATTTGGTACAGATATAATGGGGGACTGATTGATGCCCGGGGGCGGTCAAGGGATTGCTCCCTATTGGTCAACCACGTTATGTATGCCGATGATTTGGTAATTGCTGCTCATTCAGAGGAGGAGTTAGAGACGCTTCTGCTGAAACTGGAATGTGCCACTAAGAGGTGGGGCATTACCATTAGCCCCACCAAAATTAAGCACCTGCCTGGGTATTTTGTACCATCAGACACTCCACCCCCACAACTCTCAATCGGTGATGGGGCAGTTGTGGAGAGAGTGGAAAGTTTCCCATACCTGGGCAGTGTGCTCATGACCGGCTCCGGTTTGGCAGCGGAGGTCTCACTCCGAATCAGTCGAGCAGCAATATCTTTTCATCGGTTGCGTAACGCTGTGTGGAAGCTGCCTGGTCTGTCACTCCGCTCGAATTTTCAGGTCTTCTCGGCCACAGTCATTCCCTCCCTTCTCTACGCTTGCGAAACGTGGACCACCCTAATGGAGCATCTTCGCCGGTTAAAAACATTTAGGCTGGCCTGCCTACGATCCATCCTGGGTTTAACCAGGCTGGATTGTGTGAGGAGCTCACAAATCCTTGAAAGATCTGGGCAAAGTCCCATCGGTGAGCTCCTCCGGCAGGCAAGGCTGCGTTGGCTGGGTCATGTAGCCTGCATACCCAGCCACCGCATGCCTAAACAGCTTTTGTTCGGCCGGATCGAGGGGGCTAAACAGGCGCAGCACGGGCTAGAGAAAAGATGGAGTGATGTGGTACAGGAGGACGTGGAGCTGAGTGGACTTGTCGATGACTGGTACCAGCGGTGTCAAGATCGGCCTCAGTGGAGGAGGCTCGTGAAGGACGCTACTGGGCAGTTGGAGGCAGTTGCCCTCCAACACCAACGAAGGACGGAGGAGCGACGCTCACAACAACGAGCGGAGTGCCGGGTGGCTAAAGCACAGCAAGTTGGCACAGTAGGGGGCACAGGTGGTGCATCAGGCAGCCATCTCAGTCATCTCAGTCAGTCGACCCGTGGCACCTGGGTCTGCCCCATGACCTCCTGCCAGCGGGCGTTCGACACTTCACGTGGCCTCAAGGTGCACATGGCCTGGCACAAGCGTCGTGGTGACGTCACCGCCACTTAGTGGCGAATGGCGGTTGTTGTTGTGTGTCTGTGTGTGTCTGTGTGTTTGTGTGTGTCTGTGTGTGTGCGGTAGTGTAGTGATTAGCGCGCTTCGCTAGGAACCTTGCCACCCAGGGTTCGATTCCCGCTCACGGCCACCAACACTGGTGTCGCGTGCCGTGCCGGCCTTCATCGGTGCTGCTCGCTACGGCTACACGGGGAGGCCCAGGAGCGGCTGAGGTAATCGTCAGCAGTGTTGGTGGCCGTGAGCGGGAGTCGAACTTGGAGGGCAGCGTGGTGTTCACCGCAATAATACTGCCCGCTCCCCGACTGGTACACGGTACGTACAGTGCAGGGTGCACAGAACTCGCGGCGTCTCTCACACGGTCCGGGTCTCTGCGTGGAGAGCGGGAGACGAAGGCGAGGGTCACACAGGGTCTCAACACGAGTCACGTCACATCACAGACTCATCCTCACCGTTAACCAACATCATCAACACAAACCCACATCATTAACACGGACCCACATCATTAACAAGAAACTCACATCATCAACACGAGCTTACATCATAACCATTCACCCACAACACTGCACATCTGTGAGAAAAAGCTGTATAGCTCATCAGACTCCTCCAGTATAAGTATTCTGATTCTGACATGAACTCACATTGTCACCACTCACAACACCACCACCACTATCAGTAACACCACTAACACCCACCATTCCTCCTGCCAGTACACTACACAGGACACACACACGTCCTCACCACTCACATCACCATTCACCCACAGCTCCTCACCTCCTCCAGAGTCGCCGCCTGTGACAAATAAAAATCGGCCAGAAGTGGGGGCGGGGCCCGGTGAGCACGCCCTCGTGACGAAGCAGACAGTAAGCCCGCATACCAGCCCTCGCCCCCCCCTACCCCATACCCCCCCCC